TTAATCGGATTCAGAATCGCTCGGATAAGTACATCAGTAGAAGAGGTTACTTTAACTGAATGAGATGAATTAGCGTATGGAAGTAAGGGAGTGAGAGAATCACATATCCTCTAATCTGTGAACAAAGACAAGATCTCAAATCATTTCGGGTTGACAATAAATTGATGAAACAGTTTAAGTTAGTGATCACGCCATTTATAGCGGCAGTCATTTCACCATCATCTCCCTCTTGACCATCTGTTGATGAGATCATGTTCTCACTCATGCGTTTTAGCCTTGAAGTGAGGGAGCCGCGATAATTACAGAAAGCCACCAGAATATGATAAATGGGACTATCATTGATGATTAATGTCATTACGTCGTATAATTTGAATACGACGGTTAGATAAAAAGCGGAAACAGCTTTGAGTGATGGAGATAATTGTAATTTTGTCCGCTCTCTTATTTTCAACGTGTTTTTATTCGCTCGTGTACTGGTTAGAGTACCATATATGTTTATCGCCATATTTTCGTCATCAATATCTACTTCATTGATCACGCACTTATAATAACGAATCATTGCATTATAAGCCTGTTTATGAAGAATAAAGTCATTGATGATGTTTTCAGTGGGTGTTGGTAGACAAGTTAATAATGATCGACCTCTACATTTGTGGTTATTCATGAGATTGAAGATGAAACGTATTTACACGATTTACAATATTTACTTTCTTTTTTTTAATTGGTCTTTGATCTGTTAAAATGCACTATGTTTTCACAATTGTCTATACATGGACAGTTGTGTGAAAGATAGGTTCCTAAATTAACATTTTTGTAACTGCGACAAGGACATTTGAAATCCTGAATAATGATAAAAATTATTAACCGACTTGTAATTAGTTAATAGCTAACTTACCATTCTCCAGATGGTACTGGCAAAGTTTGCACTTCTCTCTCGTCTTTTATACCCGAAAAAATGTTGAAACATGCGTAGTTAAGATTACAAGTTTATTATAATTGAAAAGGAGCATAGGGGTGATATTCAATAAATTTTTCAGTTAGTTCTTTATTTTTTCTGGAATTGCTCCTGGTCTTATTTTAAAAGTGATGAACGGGAATTTTTCGGACGAGATGAACTAGTATCCTTCATGGCTGATCCACAGTTCAACTCTTTTCTTCTACCTGGACAATAACTCGAATCTGATTCTGCTTTCTTGACTTATTAACTTTTATTCCAACGTGATATAAAATTTTGTCAAATTTGGCCAGCTTCTCGTCGCAATATCCACATTTATATTCCATTGGATTTTTTCAAGTCTTTCACAGCTTTTATTTTCATTTTAGAGATGGTTTGAATTTTATTTTTCTTCATAAAATCTTCAAAATAATTGGAGGATACCCATCTTCCTTGTCTGCGATCGAAATCAAGACGATTCTTAACAACATCAACCACGTTCATATCATATGCGACCACAGCTCTCAGTTTACCGTTTTTTCTGTTGATTATTACATTTTCGCACGGATATGTATTTACCGTGGTACTTATTTTTACAATTTGATCTGTTCTCTTGTTGTAAGCTGGAGATGTGCTTTTAAGAGAAGTAGCCGTGCTTGTTGAAGGTGTTGGTTCAGTATCAGCACCTTCCTCGGGTTCAGTTTCATCATCTGAATTGGTTTGAGATTCATTAAAAGTGCTTGAAGAAGTTGATGGATGGATTGCAGAAGGAATTGTTATTTGATCATGAATAACTTAAGAAGCTGAAAGTTGGTTTGGGGTTTGGATTAAAAGGGGAGAAGATAGTGGATTCTATATACCTTCGGAATTTGCTTTAGCACTGTGGAATTAAGCTATCGTATGATCATTTAAGCTCGCGAAACTTTCTAAAGGAAATGAAAGATTGGAGAAATGGTTTCTTGGACTGGAATCTAGGTTAGCTGTAGCTGCGATTTTCTGGTGAATAATCAGATGAAGGTGAAAAGCGGATGTTGTTGTTGTTGAACACTGCAATAATAAATTAAAGGACAAATTTGTTGAACTTAGTGAGATTTAGAGATGATAAAAAGTTGAGATTTTTTACCTCGCAACTCTTCACAACAAGCTTTTATCCTAATTAATATGAAATGAGAAAAAATTCTAAAAACACTGAACCATTGGCGAAAAAATTGAAATATTAATTGCACAGAATATAACCCTGTATTCACCATTTACATACTAGACATAATAAAGCTTTTCATCGAAGATTGTGGTTGTGGTTTTTGTTGAGATTTTATTTAATATATTGATATAAAACAATGCACAAATGCAAAAAACACTAATATTGATATTGTATTATATATTATTTAAAATAAATCAAATATGTAAAACAATATATAAAAGAAATTTTCTTTAAGAAAGAAGCTTGAAGAGTATAAAACAAAAATGTTTTGTTTACCAAATCATGAGTAAATGATGTAAAATGGTTAAAGGTGAATAAGGTGTGAGAGAAAATAATAAACGTAGATTTATTTAAACGAAATTTTAACTAAGTACGAAGCACCATAATCGACAATGTACAAAATAAAACTTAAACTGAAACCAAACTTTTTTCAAACAAACTGTTGTTGATGTATTTTCAATCTGACTTCGCTTTCTTTCTTTCTCTCTTTTATCCTCAAAACCGGACAAAGGAAGGAGAAGGGAACATGCGTTTAAGGTCATGGCAGATGGTTACTCAGCTAAAGGTCATAATTTAGCATTAGGGTCTGACATTTATGATCGTCAGTCCAGGGTCTGACACTAAATTAGAATAAAATTTGACAGGCCTGACTTTAATGAGTCAGAGAATGAGCCAAACAGATATCGATATCGGAACCCGATATCAGATATGGATCCGGATCTTGGCTATTTTAACTAAAAGATCCCCATTTTCACGAAATGTATTATTTTACAGCAAATTGATTAAATTAATGGTCTGACTTTGACTGGTCTGAGGTTAATCTTTATCTTTGTGTGCACTATTTTACCTTATTTTATGTTTTTAAAGTTAAAATGATTTTACCTTAATCTCAATTTCGAATGTTCATCAATTTACTTTTGATGGGAACTTTAAGTTTAATTACTAATTTTGATACCTTTCCCGGCCTTACAATATCATCTAATAAATTATCTTCACTTTGGTATTTAAATTCATTCAGAAAAAAATTGAAAACAAATTATCTTTTAATTTGCAATTATCGTCTAGACGATAACCTTGGTTAAAAAATAGAAACTTTTTCAAATTTAATTTTGTGTTAAATGATTCAATCAAGGTCCATAAATTGTTGAGCTTTTGCTCACTTCCGTGATGACGGAAGCTCAGCAATTCATTACTACTATTACAACGGTTGGTGTTCATTCTATCATGATGCTCTACATACTAATCCCCAGCCCCTACTACTGCGATTTCTAATTTAGTTATCGTTTACTTTTATACTCCTTTCTACCTGAAGTGTGCTACAGAGTTATTTCAATTGATTCATTAGTATAATAATAATATAGTCAATCTCTTTGCTTGAGATTCTAAAATTTTGAGACAAACAAAAGAAATGAATGAGAAATTTTATCAAATGTATTAGAAGTGTATTAGTTTTCAATTTATCAATGTAATATCAATAATTTGTTAATTTAGTTTCTTTTTTCGGTGATCTTACGGCTTTTCATAAACTTTTGATTCCTTGAATCGTTGAATAATTGTTCGAATTGTACTAGGGTTAACACCGAATAATAGACGATCACCTTTCTAGTTGTTTGAGTTTTCCAAATAGATCCGATAAAAAGGTTCGTTGAAATATAAGGTTGCGTTTTTTGCGAAAACGAAGTCGAAATGATTGAAATTCGGTGCAGTCACTTTGTGCTCGACCAATGGTCTACCTGAGGATAGAGATAATCGAGGAATTGTTTCTAATATAATTCCATTTTTAATATAATAACGATAAGCTACTAATAGTATTAATACTTACTACTTAGAATTTACGAATTTCTGAACATTTCTTCTCGTCAAAAGATAATCGCCCTTTCCACTAATTACAAAACGATTGTAAGTTGGAATTCGATGATATGGTAAAGCTGGAGAATTTTGTTCCATATCTTCTCAGGTTTTCGGTTTCTCCGTGATCATAAAAACGAACATGATCAAAGCCGAGTGATTGTAACAAGTGAACACCGTCTTTGAACGAAGGTCGGTCAATTTGACTTACAACGTTTACATCATTTTCTACCTGAACTTGAGGGTAATCGTAGCCCAGAATTGAGCTCAAGATTTCTTGACACATAGGCTGTGTGATGCTAAAAGTACAATGTAATTAACTAATAAAAGCTTTCTACCAATCAATTATGTTATAATAATTGTAAACTATTGATTTGTGTATCCTACGAGTTCAGATGCAATTTGGTGCTTGTGTTTGATTTGTCATTAATTTACAATTTATTCAACTGAACATTTTGTTTATTTTGTAATTAAAACTATCATTTTAATGAACTTCAAATGTCAATTTGATCAAATATTCTTGTATTAAACTCACTGATTAAATCCTTATTTAATTACTCGAGCAATTGTTTTCAATAATATCGATTAATACGTATGATTAGAATTGAAATAAATACATGTAAATGTAATTCAAGTAATTAGATGATTCTAACTATCAATTGATTATTAGATTAGCTTATTATAAAAAGTTCAGTAGCTACATTATCGGTTTATTAAGTATTTTTCAACTTATATCTGATCTTGAAAAATTTTCTGGAATCTGTTTATCATGATATAAGCCAAATGTCATAAGGGTTTATCGAAGGTCATCTGAAGGACATTTCAGAATCCAATTTCTAAATTAAAAAGTAAGACCAGAATTATATACAAATGAGTACAGTTAATTGAAAAAAGTTCGGTCATTTTTCAAAAATGTTTTCTACCAAAATTTTATTAATTAGTTTCTTTCTCATCTGAATACATCATTAATCATATTCTTTTCACTATAATATCTTGGTATCAAATTTCATGTTATTAAAATAATCTTTGGTTTCACTTGAGAGTCACATCTGAATTGAAATTAAACAGAATAAAAATTCATTAATATTGTCGATTTGATCAATTGATTAATGATAATATTACCTGAGGGATCGTATCTTTGGGTTATATTGTAAACTATTTCAGCTAAATAAACATTATTTTGATTGGCCATGTTGAAATCAAGATGACTCCAATTAGGAAAGTCAATGATATGGTCAACCAAAGGTCTTCCTGAAGATGCAAATTTTTTAAAGAATCGGTCAATAAAAATTCATTTGGAATCAATCACAATAACTATTTTATTACCTTTAAATAAGTTCCTCAGTTTTTGGACATTACTTTGTGGAGCTAGACGATCGTTCTCAGAACTCAACAAGACGATATTTTTTGGATCTATATTTTCAAAAGGAAAATCGGGTGATTCATCTGATCCATATAATTGATTGTTCATAATTTTCCCGTAGTCGAAATAGCTAATACGATCTCGAGCAATTGATTGCAATAGATGTACAATAGTTTTCACCGATAGAGTATCAATTTAACTGGCGAAAACAGATAAACGTGAGATGTCAACTTGATATAAATTCGAGCCGAAGATCTGTCCAATGATTTCGTAGCAAAGTGGCTCGAAAAAAGTGCATAAAACCGTTAAAATAGAATCAGTAACTGGTAAAAAGGGAGGGAATGGCATCATAAGTGAGCTGATGAGGGACAAGAACAACGGACTTCGAGGTAGTGCCTGAGCGATTCCAGCGACTCCTCCGAGAAAAGCTATCGGTGACGACAAAAACACGATCGAATAGTTGGTAGAGGCCGACGGTGTTACTGATAGATGAACGAGCATGTCAATCGTACCCATTGAATGTCCAAGAAATCGTATCTTACCTAATGAATGGATTGGAAGAAAAAAATCGAAATTAATTGTCTACCTTAATTTCTTAAATTATTATATTTTATTCGTTACTGTGTCCAGTGGCGTTCTTTATGTATTCAACTGTCGCTGGGATATTTCTTGTGCCAATTTCGTAAAAAGAGTAATCGTAAAATCTAGGATCTACGATAAAAAATATTCGTGCCAATATAATGATTGGTGAGTAGAGAATCGATAAGAGATTGGAACCTATTGATTTCTTACCTAATTCAGGGTTTAGATATTTGTGTTTACGAGAATATGATGTTCCTTGGTAGTTGATTAACCAAACATCTTCACCTCGATCAGCTAGATAATAGGCTGTTGACTCTATTGGACCAGGTTCGAGGAGCCAGAATGCACATGACAGAAAAATACCCTGAAGAAGTAAAAATGGCCTTGGCCGTTTAGCGTTTCGGAAAAACTTTGGATGAAGTATATGATATCCTGTTAGAATATGACCGTCCGATGTTGTCACATAGTATATTTCGTAGTTTAACCCACGGGATTCTATCAACTGTCCACAAGTTCGAGCTTCATCTAGATTCTTGCGAACTGGACCAATAATCGCTTGTTCGGTTCCAATCAGTTTATTTTCTTTTATTGCTTCCTGAAACGAATTACTCTCAGGTACATTCGAGATAACTCGAAAAATATCTTTGAAATTATCAAAAAACGATCTATTGAACTTGTTTGAATACGATTCAACTTTCGAACGGGAAAAATGAGCAAGAAAGAGCACAAACACAAATAAATAGCGATATGAGTCCATTGAAAAACAAAAAAAGTTCGGTTTGAAATCTTCTTGAATCCTTTGGTGATCTAAATTGGATGATTATTTCGTTTTTTCCACAACAATTTATTAATCATATCTTTCCATGAATTAATAGAGAAATTATCCAGTAAATGGAAAACTTTTCATCAAGAAATTTACCAACACAAAGAAAATCAGTAATAACGTCACGAGCAAATGCTTAAGAACAAGGGAATCTTGAAAAATCGATTCGAAAGTGACAATTATCGAGGTCGTTTTAAAGTTTTCTTTAAATCAATCGAGATATTTATTGGAAACTGATACTTAATTGTTATTATTGAATAAACTTTTGTCACATTAAAATTAAGGCCCGTATTCACCAACCGAGATCAAATCTGATTCCAGGTTTAAATCAGCTGATCTCAGCTTTTGTGTTTCACCAACCACGATCAAATCTTGATCTCGGATCAGAGTTAAGTTCGGATCAGTTTGATTCCGGAATTAAAAAATCATGTTTCACCAACCCCGATCAATTGATCTCAGCTTAAATTGTTGTTTCACCAACCGAAATTAAACTCAATTGATCTTAGAATCAAGAGAAAGTCAAGATCAAATTTTAATCTTGGTAATTACCAAGATTAAATTTTGATTTCGACTTTTTTTTCTCTTTTTTTCTAATCTAACTCATTTTTTCCGAATTTTTTTTTAATGAATTGGTTTATATCACAATGCTCTATTATTTTTCTACAATTTTCGCTAGCGGAAAGAAGATTTTTACAGAAAAATCTCAACAAAGATATTTAGAAAACTTGATCAGTGTAATCATATAACTTGTTAATTGTTTGGAAATCAATCTTAATTTCAAGTCTTTTCCATAAACAATTAATTAATTCATCCATTTCAAATTAACCGCTTTTGTCTAAAGAGAAATAATTTTTTATTGTTGTGACCGTTGTTATGTTTGATGATCGGTAGGTTAAAAAAATTAATTAAAAATTAGGGGTAAAAATGAAAAAATAGGGAAAAAAGACAAAAACACGCCCTTTTAGGGACAATTTCTTAATTGAATTAAGATTAATTTGAGTTAAGCTTAAATCAAATTAAAGTCGGAATCAATGATTCCGGAATCAGCTAATCGGGCTTGGTGAAACTACTTTATGCTTTAAACTCGGAATCAACTTGATTCCAGGATCAGTTGATCTTAGCTTTTGATCTCGGTTGGTGAATACGAGCCTAAAGGGCAAATTTTAACATTCAGAGTAAAAGCTGATCACCTTTTCTTTGATTAATTGTTAAATAAGTTGAAAACAGTGAATCAACTATTTACATTGAAATTGTGTTCAAACAATTAGGAGGTAAATCAATAAGAATCAATCATTCAATAAATAACCTGGTGACTTTTGGATGAGAGATCAAATTGAGTTAATTTAATTATTAGAGTCTTGAGTTTTAAATAGACTACACGATTATTTGATTAAATTAGTTGTTGTTTTTGATAAATTATTCAAAACTTTGTCAATTACAGAGGTGAAACAATTAAATCCATCCTTTGCAATTTGAAAATCAAGATGATTCCAGAGAGGATCGCTAATTACATGATCAACTAAAGGAGTTCCTATTAAATTATCAAACAATTAGCTGATTGTGATTGATTTTATTGCACTTTTATTACTTACCCTTGAGAGTTTTTCTCAATTTTTGAATGTCCTCTGGAGTTGATAGATAATCATTCAATCCACTGATTAGAACCAATTTATCGGTCGGATAATTTGACAACGGGATTTTCGGTGGCCTGATGGATCCATATCTCATTACATTCTCGACTGATCCATAATCATAGAAATGAACTTGATCATGATACATTGTCTGTAGATAGTGGAGTAAATTTTTGCCCGATGTTGTATCAATTTCACTTAGATAAACAGGTAATCGAGTGTAATTTAATTGCGCTTCATTGGGACCAACTACTGAGCCCATTGTAGCTAAACAAGTTGGTAAATTGGCCTCAGATTGGCACAGAATCGTAAGGGATGCAGCAAGTGTAGCCAATGAGGTTGGAATCCTGAGTGATCTTAATATATCCAATGATCGGAAAGAAATTGGTTGTCGAGGGAACAACGAAACGAGGCCTTTCATATTTCCAAGAAAAGCGATCGGTGCCGCTAAAATGGTCACATCGTAATTGGAAGCATATGAAGGATCGAGCGACAATTTAACAAACGTTTGCATCGTTCCTTGAGAATAACCAATGAGCGTAATTTTATCTAAAAACGACAAAAGTACAATAAGAACTTGATAATCAAGGGGTCGAATTCAATTATCGATCAATTCTCACCAAATCCAGTGAACTTTTTGATATAATTCGTTGTCGCTGGTAAATCGTAAATACCCATCTCATAAAATGAATATTCCCAGAATTTAGCATCTAAATTGGAAACAGTTATGAATGAGAAACAAATAACAACTTGAAAGTTAATTACTCACTTGATTTTGGATTATATTTAGTATGATTAGTTGAATAAGTTGTTCCTCGATTATTGAGAAGCCAAACTTCATAACCTCGATTAGCCAAATGAAAGGCAAGTCCATTGGATGTATCATTCGGTGGATGGTTTTGCCCCCAGGGTAAAATGTAACCATCATCCGAATGCATGAACCAACTTGATCCCGAATAAAGTAATCCATGGATTAAGAGAATTGGCTTAAGTTGGCCCAATGATTGTTTGGCATATTTACTCCACATTCGATAATTTTGTAGGATATAACCATCTTCGGTGGTGACCCAATGAATTTCATGATCAAATCCTCTCGAGTGAATGAACTGACCACAGGTAAGCGCGATATCGTCTACCTGTTTAAATGAATTAACAATTAACTGTTGCCTTCCATATGAAGGATTCTCGATTCGGGCTTCCTTGGCACTGTCACGACCAATTAACTTATATAATAGTGAATCAACTGGTAGAAGACAATTAAAACTGATAACAATTAACAAGGGTAATAATATACTAGGAACAATTTGCTCGTAATTTGATCGTAATTTAATCATATTGATTGTTGATCTGGTAAAATAAAGTTACATTTTGATTTCATCCGTTATTATAACTTATTAATTAATACACTTGGAGTTGATTAATCAATATTTAATTGCAATTGTCTTAACCAGAATTGATTAAATGACTGGTTGATTGTGTCCAACAGATGGTAAATCGTCAATTGATTGATTTAAAAATGTATCAGCAAATGTTTTAATTGTTGTAATTAAGAAAACAAATAATTGAAGTCACTCGATTACGATAACGATTGATGCAATTAACAATTTAATGTTTTATTGTTTTCAATTGATTTTCTAAGCAAATGATTTAATTACTTTTCTGTTTTTCAAATTTTAATTGTAAATTAACTGAAATCACAATCAATTGAATTGGTTGAAATGTTTCAAGGTAAAAACAATTTAACTTGAGTAATTGATTTGATTTGATTAGTTTTCACTCCTTTACTCTGATTTATAACATTTATTCACAATGAAGTAATTTATTAATTGTCTGATGAACGTAATCAATTAGTGATCAATCTTTTACATTGTAATGAATAAATTTTGATGATTAATTATCTTTTCTTTCACAATTAATTTTCTGATAATCAACGTATGTCAATTTTAATCAACCAAATCAAATGTAACGTCTCCCATTCAGACATTGCAATTAATCATTTAACTCACAATTAGATGATGATTATGATAATCAGATGATTATTTAAATCTAAATTTTGACGGGAAAATTTAAACTTCTTCATGTTGATCAATTAATTAAATTATCAATCAATGTGACGATTAACTTAATTTACTTGTTAATTTTTATCATTCTCTCTCCAAATTCATTACAATATCGATAAATCATATTGATTAAAAACTATCAATAATTATAATTATTGATTCGACGATAACTTGATAAGCTTAATTACGATTAGAATCAAGAGCATCGTCGATAAATCTAACGATATGTTGACCAATAGTAGAATAAAAAGTTGGCGATTTTACGAACGAAAAGTGACTCCAATTTTTATCGTCGATGAGAAAATGTTTGTAAGGTTTACCTGAGAATAGAATCGAAACAATTAGTTGATTGAGACAATTCGATTGATTAAATATATTTAATATTCTTTTCTTACTTTTTATACTTTTCTTCAATTTGTCAACTTCATTTGGAGTTGAAGCCTCATCTCCAGTAGATGAGATTATGATAATCTTATCCCCTGAAATTTTACTCAGATCAATTTTTGGAGGTTCAATTGAATTGTATTTGATTAGATTCTGTTCCAAACTATAATTGAAATGCTGAAATTCGCCGGATGTAATCAATTGGAATCCATGTACTATGGTTTTACATGAAGTTGAATCATAATTATTGATATAGATTGGAACTCGAGACTGATTATAATTAGTTGGATTGTCGGTTGAAGCTTCAATTAACAAACACATTGACTTGAATAACGGAAGATGACACATTAATGATATGGGACGCATTTGTGAATAAAACTTATATTCACAATTAACTAGTCCAATGTTATGATATATTCCGTAATCAGCGGGCATTATACTGGGTACACCGCCAACTTCGTTCAGATAAGCGGCCGGTGCGATCGCTATGAACAGATTAAGCTTATCCATGTACTTGGGTTCCATTGAAAGTAATGTAAACATAAAGGTCGATCCTTGGGAGTAACCAATGTAAGTTAAACGCTCTGCAATTAAATGTTATAACAATATGTATTCAGCTGATGATTGAACCTCTATGATGTTTACCTTTTTTGGTGAATTTTAAAATATAATCAATTGTAGCGGGTATATCATATTCGGCGACGTTTGTAAAAGTGAAATCCCAATATGATTGATCTGTAAGAAGATTAACCCGGTTGTTAGTTAATCAGTTGTTAGATTTAAACATTTAAGTACTAGTCAAGTTTTCGCACCTTTATCCGGATCAAGGTGAACATGACTTCGACTGTAACTTGTCCCTCTTACACTAATAATCCAAACATCGAACCCGTTGTTAGATAATAAGAAACCAAGAGAGTTATCGGTTACATTTGGTCGATGATTGTTCTGAGGCCAAGGTCTCACTCGACCATTTGGTTCGTTATAAAGCCAAATGATACCCGATCCAAGAACACCATGAACAAGTAGAACGGGTTCCAATCGATTAACACCCAAAGCTAATCCAGCGAATGGATTAATCATCCGATTAACACTCAGCTTGTATTCATCTTTCGTGGTCACTGTGTGATTTTCATTGATAAAACCACGAGAAGTTATAAATTCATCGATTCGTCTGAACAAATCTTCATCATAAATAGCACTTGTTATAAGGTTAATTGTTGTAATTAACAAGATGATTAAAATTGAGAAAAACTTGTTATCCATTACTGAGAAATTATCAAACTACAGCCAATCAATGTGACTCAAACTTTGTTAACATTTTATCAGCCGGTAATTACACAGTTGATTAAATTTATTTTTAATTAAATTTACTCAAATAACTTTTTATTATTGTCAGTCTGCTAGTTTAATGATTAAAATCAATTTGACTCCAGTATTTTCAACTATCAATAACAGGAGGGTAAGTTAATTGTCACTGAGAATTGTTTTGCTCTTTCTCACTAAGTTAACCAGCAGGTTCATGGACAACAATCAATTGATTATAAATTCATTTTGTTGTTTAAAATTTACCAATATTAGTAAGCTAATGTAAAGTAATCCCAAGCAATTAAGCTCTGATTCAAAGCCAAAAGAGGCGAGAGATATTTGATTCAGTTCAATTGATTGTCCATAAACTTTGTTTACAACGATTGTAGTAATTAAAACGATTTCTATTCTTACAATTATTAAAACAATTTGAATAACAAAAATCTATGGTGAAAATTTTGTATTTGTAATTTTTTTTGTATAAGATTTTGTATATACATGGCTAATATATTGACTATTGAACATTAATCCGGGTGCAATGATTTCATTTTTAAGATGTTGTGAAAATATTACAATGATAATTTGATTTGAGAAATGGTGAAATTGAGCCTCTATTGAGATAATGATTTAATGATGTGATGGCCATTGAAAAAAAAAGTATCTTTTAGACCAATTTACAGATGAGATGAAATTCAGTTGATTAATGAAAAGATGAAGAAAAAGCAATGATTTGGTTGGTTAATGGTGATGATGATTCCTCAATCTTATTGAATATATGGAATATTATTATTGTTGTTTGTTGGATTTCGAAGGACGGCTTGTGGTGTGTTTTGGTTCGGTGCCAACAGTCTGACAACTTTATATCCTGCTCGAGGAATTTGAATGTTTCTGGGAATTGATGTTATGGCAGCGGGATTTCTCGGTCCGGGTGGATGAGGTGGTTGTGCTATTAAAGTGGCATGAGAAGCTCCTAAACTTTGATTACTTGTTTGAGGAGTGACTGGATTAGCGGCATTACGAGATCGAACAACAGCTGAATGCAGATGAGAACCTAGAAAACCAAATTCTGATCGATAATCTTCCAAAATGTCGGGCGGTGGTCTCGAAGCCTAAGAAAATAAATAGAAAATATTCAATACTATTTCAAGAATTTTATTCTAATTGTAATCTTTTTAAAGAATAGAAAATTGTCAATTACCTTGATGGTTGCAGGTAAAACTCTAAGAATTAGATTTTTGATATGTTCAGCAGCGGATTTTTCAACTGGACTTCCACCTCCTTCCATTATTGTTCTGATTCTTTCACCGATTACCTTTAATCTTTTCAATATGAATGCTCTTTGAACCTCTGGACCAAGTTCACAGAGACCTGATAAAGCTCCATATTGAGAGGAGAGAGGAAGTTGAATATTATCCAAGGCACGACTCAATAGACGAGTAATTCTGGTTTGTATATTGTTGGTGGAGGTGTTAAAGTTTTTGCAAATTTGAGATAAAAGTCTTGATGCAAAATCTCTAAGTGCCCAATGATTATCTAAATCTGGTCGAAGGCAAAGTTGTTTTGAAACTATACAGGTGATAACTGTTGGAATGAGCTCATGAAGATATTTTTCCAGGTAAAGTGTTTGATTATCCAAAAGGGCTTTAACCATTCTCATAAGGTAAATAAGAAGAGCAAGATTATTTTGAACAACATTCACTTTAACTCCTTCTAAAATAAATGTACACAATCTTGGAAGCATTTGATGAAGACCCGAATCGTAAGTTAAACTTTGAAGAGCCTCTGACCTCCGTCCTTCATCACTTCCAACACAAGCCTCGGTAATCTCTTTATAATATAATTGTTGTTCAACACTTAATTCATGGGTTGCATATTGTTTAACCCTAACCATCTCGACATGTTTCTTTCTCTTCTCCAATTCAATATGACCAGTTTTCAATTCCTCAGGATTTTGTTTCAAAGCAGAAGCCGGATCAATACTTTCCTGCCTTTGGATATCTTTTGAAACTGGCGGTGGGTTTTCTGGTATTGCCGGTTGTATACCATCAATGCTTAACCAATGAGCCTTCAACGCCAAATCTTGCGGCAATTTTGGTAATATTGTAGAACTAATAACCTGTAAAAAGAACAAGGTAACAACAATTAGTTACAATCGATTAATTAGCAATAAGAGACACAAATTAAACACCAATAATCCAATAATGGAATAGGTGGTAAATGTGTAAACCAACCTCTCCTAGATCAACTTCTTTATCATCTATAAAGAAGAGCTCTCTTCCACCGCCAGAAGCATATCGGAATGGTATATGATCATTTGACGTAAATCCATAAAGTGGTTCGATATTTTTTATCTTCAAAGCATTGTCGATATCAGGACCAATTAACTTTTTTCTTTTTGAATGTCCGCGAAATTTATTTGCCTCTTGAAGAATTAATTTCAGACGGAAAGTAACCTCTTCAGCCAATACACGTGAAGCGTCATCGCTGAGATTGTTAATACCAATAGATTCTGCCATGACTTTCATGGAATCCAAGGCTGAAAGGAAGCCTGAACTTGAAGACATCGTGATGATACACTAACACTTCACCCCAAAGTAATTCTATTCAATTAAACTAAATTACAAAATAAATAAATAAATGTCAAAAACAAAATTGTTAACCAAATTGTTACAAAGATTTCCAATCCTTTCACTAACCAACAGTAACTACAAATGATTTATTTGCACCTTGGTGCGATGAGTCAACATCTTGACTGTAGGGTAGGTACTACAGCTCCTCCTAGGAGGAAAGTTGTTCACGACAACTTTTAGGTGGGAAAGGTTTGACAATTTTTTAGGGTGTTGTTGAGGCTTTGGATTGTTGAGGTTAATTGTTCAAGTTTGCTAATCTTAATATTATCCTGATGGTCTCCTGTGATGTAATAGTTATTGAGATGGGAATCTATGGTTTTGTTACATTCAAAGAGTAGGTGGGAAATGGTTCTGGGGTTTTTTTTACATTTGTTTCGAGTTGAATTATACATATTAATTTGGTTTTGTAGTTTGATTACAATTTGTCTTATTTTCTTGGCTTTGAATTTTAGGTGTTTAGTGTGTGGAAAAGGTACAATAAGGTTAAGAACATTATTTTCAGAGTAATAATCTTCAATGATGATATCTAAAAGATATTTGTTTACTTGTTGTTTCAGATTATTCCATGAGATGTAAGGGTGATTAATTATTTTACTTTCTCCTTGTGTTGGTTCAGGTTTGTCAATTTCTTTTGATGTCCACATAATTCTGTTGTCATGGGTGTAGATTATGTTACTGATTTCTGTCATTGTTTGGCCTTCAGGGAATCTGGTAATGTAACTTGGTATGTTGATTATGAATTTACCTTTAACTGTCTTGACTATTTCGTAAATAGCGTTGAGTATAAGTTCATAATGGTTCATTTCGCATTGAGTTTTATATTTAGTTGTAGTATCAGGATGAAAAACGATAAACTCGTCATGACCATAGGTGAAAAAGTAAATCAGTGGAAATAGGATATTGTTAAGTTGAATTGTTGGTCTGAGAATGAGTTTTTTGGTTGGTTTCTTGAAGATTTTCATTATCGGCCATTCTTCTGGATCAGCTTGATTTCTAAACAGGGCAAAGATTATATCGGTTAACCAAACTTTAACTGGATTAATTGTATCATTAGTTGCAATCGATAACCATTTCGTTGTCTTTTCATCATATTTGTGGATCGCATGGAGGAGTGAATTTGCTGCTTGTTGTAAGTTAGAAATGAAGTTTTCATGGTGATTCTGTTTATATAAGTTGAGCGGTCCAATGGGAAAGAGTAGACTTGCTGTAATTGAATTAATTAGTATATTTTGTATTTTTCTGGGTAAATATTTGATCGAGTTGTTGGTGTAGTTTTCTTTTGTGGCTGATTTGATCTGTTGTTTTAGCTTAGCCACAGAGTTACCGGTGTATATGAATTTACCTGTTACCAGGGAATTTTGTTCGTTGATCAGTTTTGTTTTATTTTCATTGAGTTTTAAGTTCCCCTGAGCTAGTATGTTTCTTATTTTGTTTAAGTTAATTTCGATGTTTTCTTTTTTCTCTACCATTGTCATGTCATCTGCAAAAGCATAGATTTCAATTTTTTCCTCTAAACATATTCGAATCAGTAAGTCAAGTCCAATTATGAAGTTAATCGGCCCATTACTAGTTCCTTGAGCTATTCCTTTACTTTCAGAGCTGTAGATGAATCTCTTCCCGTCAAAGTAAGTGAGCCATCTACAGCTTAGTAGCTGTTTCATCATATCAACTGTACCCTCATCTAAGTGATGTTTCAGTCTCTCAATTATCATCTCATTATCTATCATATCGAAGGCCTTTTCTACATCAAGTGCAATGAGTTGGTTATTTTCTATTAGCATTTTTTCAACTAGTATTATGTGTAGGTTGGTGCTGTTAAGGTTTTTCTGATTTGAGAATTGGGTGTTAGGTAGAAGGAATAATTCTAATTTATCTTGGATTCTGTGTGTTAATATTAGATCGAATATTTTCAAGAAGAAACAGGCTATTCTCAAAGGTCGTTTTCTACCATCGGGTTTTGGGATGAGGGTGAGGCCAAACATTTTAAAGGGTTGAGGAAGGTAACCAATTTTGAAACAAAATTGGATAAATTTAATAAGGAAATCATTATTTTGTTTCCAAAATAGATTCCATTGTTTGATTGTAAAGGAGTCGGCAGTCCCTGAAGTTTTTTTGAAGCTCATTTTTCGTAGTAGGTCTAATTCATTTTGATTAAGTGCTGCTGAGTAAGTGGGTGTTGTTTGACTGAATTTTGGTGTGTTGATTGTGAATTTTTCTAGAAAAGGGTCAGTTGTTGTTTGTTTGTTTATTTCATTTAAGCTATTTTTCTTGGTGAAAATTCTGTTTAGGTGACTCCAAATGATTTTGGAGTTATTAGTTTTATAAAGGAAGTTGTTTTTATTTATTCTATTACTTTCTCTAATCGTTCTTTCTATTTCTTTTGCTTTTTTAATGGTATCTAGTTCTTGAGTTTTTCGGATCTTTTTTCGTATTCTAATTATTTTCCTATTGTTCTGATGTTGGGTTAGTTTACTGGTTTTAAATCTTTTTGGGAAGTTGATTAATTTTTCAGCTAGTTTATCTATTTCAGAAGGTGATGATGGAACTATTTGTAGGTTCTTAGGTAGGAGGTAATTTGTTATTTTAAATGTCGGAGGTTTGTTTATCTTTGAGTGAAAAGGATTTTGTAAGGGTGTTGAAATGTTGAATTTAACATGATCATACGTAATTCCCTGGTAACTTACTGATACTCCGTTTATATTTGTTGCAATTACATCTATCCATCCTGTTGCTCCATTGGCTCGGCTCATGAAGGTGTAATTATCGCTCGTAGGCTTGTTGACCACGGTGATTCCCAGCTCATCGAAGATGTTAGCAATTTCTTTGCCTCGATTAATTTGTTGTTTTACTTTGTGTGACCAATAAGGATGATTACAATTAACATCGCCAATCACTATCATTGGTTTACCTTTGAACGGGAGGATGAGTTTTTGTATCTTTTTGATGGATGTGATGTTGTCATCGGTTGGTTTAATATATATCACGAATATTAGAATTTGTTTATTTAATTTGTTTTTAACCATGGCACCAGTTATATTGTTATATTCTGTTGATGAGAGGGCGATGTTCAGATCATCAGAAGCAACGATGGTTATTTGATCATTAACTAAGATATTAGAGTTCATGTTGTGGTTAAATGAAGTTTTTCTGTTAGCTTCTATTAGGATAGTAACTGTTTTGAAGGATTTGTAAGTAGAGCTGATAAAATTTTCTGTTAATCGAATATTTTTGGCTACATTGTTGTAGATGATATTAATCTCTGACATTGTGATAAACTGTGAAGGAAGGAGGTAATAGGACTGAGCGATAAGAATATTTAGTGTTATTTGTTAACTTGATTAGTCTTTCTTTTAATCGGGGACATTCAAGTGAGTTGAATCGATGAGTCGACTGGGGACCACAATTAACACATTGAGGTTCTGAAGTACAAACTGTATGGCTGTTCGCTGAGCAATTAAGACATTTTTGCGATGAACCACAGTTCGAAGTTTCGTGGTAAATGCTACCACAACGGCCACAGAAAACAAAACCGATATTATCCCAGTAGTTAACAAATTTGTCAGCTATTTTAATTCTGTTGCTTCTTTCAATCAATGTGTCACGATTACGAGCAGAGAGTTTAAAGATGACAATCGTGAATTCGGCTATTCGTCGAATTGATATAACCCGGGTTTCATCATCAGTAATGAGTGAATTTTCAAAGATGAGATGTTTGGTTAATGTTGATTCATTAATTGACTCAAATTTCATGCGAGTTGAAAATTTGATTTCAATATCTTTCTCTTGGGTTGTCGCGAATCTAATTCTGGTTCTGGAGGATCTTAGGATTTCACTGAATTCATTACAAAAACTTAAACTTTTAAAATATACGATCACGAGAGAAGGTTTTTTGATAACGAATGATATTTTATTGCTGCTGTTTGGAAGGTTGTTAATGATGCTATCGATGAAGTTTTGTCTACTGAAGTATCGAGGGATTTTAACTTTAACAAAAAATTCATTTTTATGTGAGATTTTGATGAGGTTGGAGTACTGGTTCATTTTCATGAAGGTTGGGTAGTGAATGATGATAAGTTTAGATGTTAAATGAAATGTTAAGGGCGAGTTTTGTTAATTATAATGTGAGTGAGTTAAATGTTAATTGTTTGGATTGGGTTGTTAATTGTTTTGTTTTTGTTAGTTTGAACATTTTGTGATATGAAATTAATTGTTTCTTATTAATTGTTTCTTATTATTATGAGAGTAAAGCTAAATTGTTTTCTATTCTTAGGAAAGGTTTTTATTAATTGGGTGTCATATTCAAGGCTAATTAACTGGTTAGTGTAAATTGTTTGTTTGTTTAAGTGATTTTCTTAATACTTAGTTTAAGCCATAATCCAAGTGTATTTGAAATTTTTCTTTTCAATTTCTGTTTTGAGACGGTTTTGATAAACCTGACAATCAGTTGACCAAGCATTGTGACCGTATTTTTTGCAATTTGGGCATTGCCATTTCGCAGGTTGATCAACAATCGGGCAGCCCTGGTTCAAATGAATGAGGCCATCGTAGGGACATTTTGTTATCTTGTTGCAGCGATTTGTGGTGTGGCCATAGTTGGTACATTTTCGGCACAAATTTATATTAAAATAATCTTTGATATTGACCATTTGGACGCCAACAAACATTTGACCAAATCGATTTTGTATTAGCTCACGGAGTGCAGGGCAAATTTCAATGAAGAGGTTTTTTGTATTACCAATACCTTTGGTATAATGTAGAATCTTCATTTCAAAGTTTCTCTTTTCTCGATTTAACCTGTTCTTGGAGATAAATCGTTCTATCCATAGATTTGGTTCTTCAGGGTTGAAGTTAATATTCTGTATTAAAATTTGTGGATTTGTGATCGGTGGTATTTCAACAGTCCATTCGGGTTTATTGGCTTGTAGATAGTTGTATAATTGAGTCCGATCGGGAACTTCAAGGCATTTTATTTTGGAAACTTCTCTACCGATGTCAATAGAAACAATTCTTCCGATCTCATCAGTTGTATTCTCAAGAAATTCTTTGACTTGTTCCGTAACTTGTTCGCCAATTGTTAGATCTCGTTTATTTTTGATGTTTTTAATTCTTACCAAGATCGTAGGTCTTATTTCAAAATGATCCACTTTGAACCAACTTTTGGGGTATTCTCTGGTTTGTTGATATTCAACGCTGAGGGTGGTTTTTAGTTGTTCAGGTGTCATTTGATCAAGTTTAATCTCTCTCGGTAAAGCCATCATTTTAAGTTGTTCGTCTTCTTTGTATTTTTTGATGATAGTTAGAAGATGATCGACTTTTTTAATCTTTTCTTGTGTCGCTTTTTCAATCCAATTCGTGCTCTTGATCATAATATTCATATATCTTATAATCGGAATGGAGTCTAATTGAGCCAATAGTTCATCTTGTGATTTTGCTTCCATGGGAAAATGGAGTAAATCAATGAATTCATCAAGAACAGCAATTGCTTCATTTTGTGGAGTTTTAGAGTCACACTGTGAATGAGTAAATTTTAAGTATATGGTTGTAAGTATTAAATTTAAATTACCTAACATTTGATTTCTCTTTTTGTATAATATCTTATGTATAAGGTTATAGGATAACGACTTACCAAAATGAGAAGTGGTTGTATATCCGGTAATCTTTGGGCCATGGTGACAATTTATATATCAAAACGTGACGCACAATCAGCTGAGTGTGAAGGTAACAAAATACAGGTGAAATTTTAATTATAAACTTACTTTTTTAATCAAAAAAAAAAGATGACAATAAAAAAAGGTGAAAAAATGAAAGACCTTCTGCTCGAGTCCATCTGTTGGTCTTTTTTCCAACTACTTTTTTTACCGCGAATTTCAAACTTTTTTTCTCGAAAATTTTCTCAACATTTAATTGTGATTCTAATTGTAATTGCAAATACCAACAGAACTCTCGATGATAATGAAGAATAATATTCTTTGAATATTAACTTTTGGGTAGAAGTTTGAAAATGATGCAAAAATTGTCTGTATGAAATCGGTTTTCGGATTGGCGAGAAATCCGATTCATTTTCAATTAGGGAACAATTAATTTGATTAATATCTTTTCCCTCACAATTTAAAGTTGAAAAAGTTGAAACTTTTTAAAAATTTTTTATCAAAATGAGTCCATCAGAATAATGATAGCGAGGCTTTCAAATGCTGACCATTTATGATTGAAATTGATTGTTTATAATTGTTGTGGTTGTGGTTGTTGTTGTTATTGTGAAAGGTCATATTTTTTAATTGCTACCCACTGGATGATTAGCAGCAATTTAGTAAACAGTTTTTTGTTTGTGGTAAATCTGTTTTCCCTGTTATCCTTTAATTATCTCAAATTAACTAATCCACCCACACCCTTAGACCTTGTCTTCAATTTCATTCTCATCGTGACCTAAAAGTGAAATCAAATTAATCATCTCAAAGAGCTGCTGATTGTCATTGAATTAGTAGATTGATTTTTTTTTTCATATTCTACCAATGATTATGATTCTATGAAATTCACGGAGACGAAAGAAGGAGAAAAAAATGGCCTCATATGAGTAGAATGCGAAAAAAAAACTGACCTGGTTAATTGACTAAGAGTAACGAACGAGGCAAAAGTATAATTAGTAATTATCTTTCTATGGGAGTTTGATTGATGATATTTGGATGATTAAGTTTTCTCGTCTTCGCAATTATCTTCCCATTGGTTATTCAACTATTCGAGCTCTTCGAAAGTACCTTAATATGATTACTGTTGATTCCAATTTTTAGTTATCATGATTTTCACTTATCCATTGATCAGTTTAATTTTCCTTCTACAGTTAAATTTGATTGTTCATGTTACTCCTCAATATCTTTCTCGTTTGCTTAATCATCATCGACGAAACCAGCAACTAGTTAAACGCAACAAATTAACAATTAGCGAAGGTCGTATTAGACTCGTTGGTGGATCAACTCGATCTGAAGGTAACGTTGAAATTTATCATCTCGGTCGATGGGGAACAATTTGTGACGACGAATGGGACGAAAAAGAGGCCAAAGTTGTTTGTTCGAACCTTGGTTACTCTACTAATTTCTCAGCAATTCCAACAAGTAATTCACAATTTGGTAAAGGAAGAAGTAAGAAAATGATCAATCATCAAAAGTTGAGAGAAATTAGTTAATCAAATAAAAAATGTTCCCCATAATAATTAGAATTAATTTGGATGGACAATTTATATTGCAATGGAAATGAAACTCGTCTTGATAAATGTCAATTCGATGGCTGGAAAACCCATGATTGTGTTTCCAATGAAGCAGCCGGAGTTATCTGTAAACCCAATCAACAATTAGCAAATTATGTTACTCATTACAATCAACAATTAATTGCTAGCAACGCACCGGAACAAAGAGTAAACATAATTAACATGAACCAACCTGTTCCCAAACGAAACCATCAATTACAGGTAAGTTTGTTTACTGGAAAAGATCAACAATTAACAAGAAATGATGACAAAGCCAAATTTTGATTAATCATCATGAAACAAAAAGGCAAATGAAATAATGGATATCCGATTAAATGGCGGACGAACCAATCAAGAAGGTCGAGTGGAAGTGAAAATGACCAAAGGTAATACTTGGTATACTATTTGTGGGAATGGTTGGTCACTTTTAGAGGCAATGGTCGTTTGCCGATCACTTGGCCTTGGGTTTGGACAATTTGCTTCGATCGGTGAATTTAACAGTAATCAAAGTTCACCAATTATCCAACCAATTTACTGTAAAGGTTACGAATCAAATCTTAATCAATGTAAAACCAGAACAGATCATATCTCATCGAGTTGCGGTCAAGCTAATTCTGATATCGCTGGAGTCATGTGTACAAAAGGTAAATAGAAAATTTTGGACAATCAATTAATTGACAGAATAATTGTTAATTGTTCCAATTTAGACTTACCCGATCTTGCTCCAGATGAAAAGGAGTTCGGATCATCCGTATATCTTGAGGATCGGCCATTAGGTTTACTTCAATGTGCGATGGAGGAAAATTGCTTAGCGAGTGATGCATATACAATAGATCGTCGAGGTCACGGTGAGTTGAGACAATTAATTATCTAATTGCATGATGGTTGAAATGAGAAAACAATTAAACCTTAAAATTGATTTGATTAACAAAAAAGATAACAATAAACAACTACAAAAGGTTCAACAAAAAGGATTCAATGTTTTCCCTGCAATCATTAAATTCACAAGCGATAATTGAATTCACTTTTTCACCAATTAGTTAATTTCATTTTCTGATTGGTTGACAAATCATATTTTAACTAGAATAATTTAAATCTATCAGTTTAGATTAACAAAACTAGTTTGTTTTTCACTACAACCAAAGTGTTCAATTAACCGATACCATTGATTGTCTAAATTGTCTAATTGTTTCTCTGTTCATGAGATGATTAACTAATTGAAAGATTCCAGTTTCTGTTTATCTGTTTAAACCAATCAATTGATTGTCTGATTGTATAACCTGGTTTTCAATCTGTTTCTCTGTCAACCCTTTCATTGTAATCAATTGATTTTTCAATTGTGATTTAACTTTTCCTCCTTCTCTCCGTTTAATTGTTTCACATTCAAAAGATTGGATTTACGAGACTCGAAGGTTATTAAGATTCACCACTCGAATCGGAAACATTGGTACAACTGATTTCATTCCCTTTCTACCCAAACAAGAATGGGAATGGCACTCATGCCATCGGCACTACCATAGTATGGAAGTGTTTGCTCATTTTGATTTACTTGATCTAAATGGTAAACGAATCGCTGAAGGTCATAAGGCAAGTTTCTGCCTTGAGGATAACGATTGTTCACCTGGTTCAAAGGTTAAATACTCGTGTAAAAATTATGGTAATCAAGGGATTTCCGTTGGTTGTGTGGACATTTACCTGTCCAGTATCGACTGTCAATGGATTGACATAACTCATCTTAATCCAGGATCATATCAACTTAAGGTAAATTTAGTTGCCCGATCAACATAACAATCAAAAATCCTACACTCATTTTCAAGTGGAATCAATTAACAATCATCATGATGATGGATACAAATTATACATTAATCATTGAATCATTTGATCAATGAAACAATCAATTTAAAATGAAGGTAAAATAACAGTTGATATAGCAAAAGAAAAAAAAAGTTCACAACAAAACAAAAAAGTTTACAAAAGTAATACAAATATAAAGTGAAAACCTTGAGAAAAACATTGAATAAGATATTATAATAGTTAATTACGATTAACTAACAGCACCAATAACAATACCAAATTGGTATCAAATTGTAATTAGTAAATTGCATTAGTTTAAGAAACAAGAAATTAGAGAAACCGGTTAATTGTTGTGAGACTTGTAACAACTTTAAGGGCTCATTGATCTGTTCCGGTGGAAGATGAAATATCTCCTATTACATTTATCTTCTTTCCCTTTTTAGCCTTCTCTCCATCCCACTACCAATCTCTTCCTCTTCATCCTCATCATCTTCATCATCTCCTCTCTCTCTCTCTCTCTTCATCTTCTCCAGCTTCCTCATCTCCATCTTCATCCTCATCTTCATCCCTCCAACGGAAAGTCAATCTTGCCAAACCTCATACTTATTCATCCTCACAACTTTCATCATCATCTTTTGTTACATTTCCATGTCTTGACCTTTTCTCATTAACCAAAACCTCAGAAAGAACAACAAAAAAAAAACTTAATTACTTTAATATTTTGGTCGATCAAGTTGATTAGAAATCAGTAAATTACCTTTTCCCTGTTGTTTTCCCAAAACAAATCATGGTAATGTTAATCTTATTAAACGATCCCGCTGATCGACGTTATATTAGAACTTAAATCACAACAATCAATTGATTATCTCATACTAATCACGCCCCATTAAATTACCTCTTTAAATGTTGCATCAATCAACAAATCAATTGATTAATAGCTCTTTCTAAATCTCAACGTTTCACACATTCACATTTTCCCCTTTAAATCATTTTCTAAATTACTATCAATTTACTATCTCATCTTATCGTTAGTAGTAAATGAGAGAGAGAGAGATGAGCTTAATGATGTATTCATTTAGATTAAATAATAGATCAATTTTTGATTCCATTTGATTTGATGTCTTTTTGCTTTCAGCTTAATTAGATTGACTAACAAGTCGCTTTCTTTATTTTTCTTTTCTCTCCTTTTTTTTTACTCCATCAAAATATCATTAATGTAACAATTTCATTCATCATTATCCTTTTTACAATTGGTAAAAAATGATTATCTTTTTTTCAAGCTTTCGGTGAATCCGGAATTCAAAGTCTCCGAAATCTCATTTGACAACAATGCTGCTTTATGTTATCTTCATTACGATTCAACGGCAATCCAAGTTTACAATTGTACTTTAACAAGACCTTGATTTGATTGTGGAAGAATTTATTTATCGTATAGCTGAATAAATTTAAATGAATGAAAAAGGAAAGGGAAAAGAGAGAGATGATTTTCAAGGGGTATGGGAAAATCTGACAATTTATCAATTCTCAATAAGAACGAGAATTGAAGTCATCAATTTGGAAGATTTAAGAAAAGAAAACATTTGATGATAGCAAAGAAATATTAATAAATTTGTTTTCTTTCAAGTTTTCTCTTTTTTTTTCGGCTTGTATATAAATGGATTTGCTTCTCTTTTTTTTTCGTTTGTTTGATTGTTTCGAATTTGCATTTAACTTCGTCTTGGTACCATACTTTTCACTTGTCGATTCAAGGCAGAGCTTTTAAAAAGTCGATAAGCACTTAAAACATTTGTATTACTACTTCGGATTGGACGGCTGTCAGTTGGCTCAGCGTAAACTGAATACATCGATATTGGCTTCTTCTTGACGGGTTGGTCTATCGTTGAACGGTTAGAGACACCGTTTACACTTCGAGTGACTGTTGCTGTGTTTGCTTGATATTGTCGTTCTCTTTGTAATTGCTGTTGTTGAAGTTGTAGTTGTTGTTGTTGCTGCTGTTGCTGTTGTTGTTGTTGAAGAAATTGTAATTGATTATGGTTGTAACTTAATGGTGGTTTATATTGTGGCTGTTGTATTTGTTGTTGTGGTTGTTGTTGAGGTTGAGGTTGTTGATATTGATGATATTGTTGATTTTGGTCCCTTCTTGTTATGGTGAATGATTCATTCAGATGATCATCTCTATCATCTTCATCCATAGTGAAAGTATTATTGAGTTTGCTCTTTCTCATGGTGTAAGGGCTTTCCAAGTCAGTTTTACTTCCACCAAGATAGTTGAGTTTACCATTACTCCCACTAATATTGGAACTACTGTAGTTCAACTTTGTATCCCTTAGATTACCATAGCTTGGTGATAATTCTTCCGAAGATAAGAAACGGTTGAAAAAAGTTGGCTTCCTTTTGGTTATGGTTCTTGTATCAAGCTTTGCTTCCTTATTATATTCTAACCTGGACTCCCAACGAGTTTCCAAATTTCTAACAGGCATATTCATGCGACCGAACTTATTGGCTTTGGTTGATGATTCTAATTTATGTAAAACGGCTAAATTGTCCAATTCACGGACAAGGTTATCTTTAGTTGACTTGTAAGTCTCATTCTCCAGAACATTTGATAACCATTCTTTTAACTCGGAATCATTTTTACCATTGATGAGCTGTTGTTGTTGTTGTTGTTGTTGTTGTTGTTGTTGATCACCAGCAACATTGTCATTGTATAAACCTAAACTATTATCACCACCACCATTATCACAAAGTCCATTTTCATGATTAGAATGGTTAGAATAATTATCTTTCACCAAAGAATTACCGTTACAATGATTAGTATTATCAACACCATTGGTAGATTCAATTAAACCATTAGTGAGCCAACTATGTTCATCATCGTTGACCAATTGAGCTAAAGTTTCTTCACTTAAAATTTCTGACTCCGGGTCCGAGTCTATTAACCCATTTTCATGGTGATTAACATGAGACCGTCGATCCATCACTATGACACACAAATTTAGAATAAGAAATTTCAGTAAAATAGAAGGAGAAATATGAGAGAGTGATGAAAAAGGGGAGAGCTAAAGAGAGAAACTTTGACAAGTGAAGAGAGAGAGAGAGAGAAAACCAATGGTAATTGATTAGAATACAAAAGTTCTCTCAGTGATCTTACTTGTGTCGGTTGCTCTCTTTTTCGATAAATTAAAAATAGTAGTGGAAATTGTTACACAACATAGAGAGTGAGAGAGAGAAAAAATAACAACACAATTCTAAACGAAGATAAAAAAATTGATAAGATGAATGGCAAGAGAGATGAGAAATGTTCCTTTGGGAGGAGTCAATAACAAGAGATTTACCATTAAGACATAGGTTGATCAATTGAAGAGAATTGATAATGTAACCAAAAAAAACGAGACAAAGTGAAAGAGAGAAAAGACTAGAAATTGAATGACATATAAAATGATAGAAAATTGGAATAGAAAATAAAAAGGTTAATTACAAAAACGTATATGAGAATAAACAAACAAACCAAAACAAAAAGAGAAATTAAATAAACCAATGAAAGGCAAAGATTAAAAGTGACTTAAATTGTGTATCAAGGAAAAAAAAGATACGCCAACATTTTACAAAATAGAATAGAATAGAATTAGTTAGCTCCATCTAATGGTTGTAATACATAATAAGGGAAAATTGTAATTAGACAATTAAATTAATTGTGTTTGTGTTGATGAGGAGAGAAAATTTCTCATTGGATTGTTGGTTTGGTTGGTTGGTTGTTTTTTGTTTCTTCTCCAAGAGCAGGTAAATTGTTTATCCTCTGGAAATACTTCGTTCTTAGAGAAAATCACCAAGGGATAATCCTTAAAGAGAATAGAACAAAAAAGAAGAAAAGAAAATTTCATTGGAGTAGAAGTTACATTTCCGTTGGGGAAGAGAATTTGTGTCTTTTTTTAAAAGAAAAAAAAAAGAAAACAGGTTAACAACAAAGAGAAAAGGTGAGAGAGAAAAATAGTTAATCTTAAATTTTAAATGGAATTTAATTGCATTTGAAGAATACAATTAATTCGTTGATTGGATAAATGTGATGACATTGATTAAGAGATTAATCAATTTGAGTGGACCGATGAGGATGAGAAAACAAAAAGAGGAAAGAAAAAATATTTTCGGTTATGTTGATTTTCATTCGACCGACAGATGGCGACACCGATTTTTCTTTGTTGTTTCTCTTCACCGAAACAAACAAACTCTTCTCATTGGTCGGTTTGTATTCGGTTACTTTGGTTACCATTTTAAATTTTAACGCGTCCACAGTTAATCTTTGAGTACATTTACTCTGTGTAAATTGTTAATAATCGGACATTATTATAATTGTTGCCACTTGAATCAATTTAAATTTTAATTGTTCTTTCCCAATGGTTTGACCACTTCAATTAATTTCCTTTAATCGACCATCATCTTCGTCTTTGTGGTCATCCTGTTGTCCTTCTCCGATTCTCAAAATCTATTTGTCTTCTTTCTCTCTTCTTTTCTTTTTAACCCGTCAACTTCTTAATCTTCCTTTGCCCATCTTTGTTTTATTTTCAATTATTTTCTATCGTTTTTTATTTAATTTTTCCTTTTTTATTATCTTAAAAGTGTTTATTCAATCATCAATTGTCAAGTGTATCCATTTTATTTTATCTTTTAAAGTGTATCTTACTTAATACTATTTGTTTGTTGTAAATTGGTTTTATCAATGGCTACCACTAGAAATGGAAGAAATCGTGTTCTTGGAGAAGTTGCTAATGTTGTTCTCGCAGAAAGAGCAAGGCGTAAGCCATTGGGTACGATAACTATTCCTTCAAAATCTTCTAAAACTGGTAATGTGTCCAAGGAAAGTGCCATTGATAATATTAAAGCTGAACTTAAAAAGAAGGCTGTTCAATGTGAAAAAGAGAATGAGGTGCTTGAAGACCAGCCCAAAGTGAAATCTACTAAAGAATCTGTTAAGGTGGAAGAGGTTAAAGTTGAAGATAGTTCTAAATCTACAACGCCTGAAATTATCAAAGAAAATGTGGCGCTTGAAAATCTTACCCTTCAAGATGAAAATCAATGTGATGTATCCTCACAAATGAGTGTAGATGAAGAAGTATGTAAAATTCTTATCGATGAAGAGGTAATCAAAATTCAAATTGATGAAGAGATCCCTAAAATTGAATCAAATGAAGAAATATCAAAAATTCAAGTTGACGAAGAAACTGTCAAAATTTTAGTTGACGAAGAGACACCGATTATTACAGAAGAAGAAGCAAAAGCCACCATTGTTGTCGATAAGGAAGCAAAAGAGATTGTAACTAAGTCAGATCCTCAATGTGAGGACAAAGAAAACGTTGAGGACTTGGAAATCTCATCCTCGCAAGCAGATATAACTGAAGATATCTCTGAAATGAGTATTGACACCTTCGAATCACATGAAGATGACTGGTGCTTCTCTAAAATGTTAATCCTAAGTATCCCCGAATATGAAGAGGAAATTCAAAAATATCTATTGAAACTTCAAGAAAAAACTCGTGCTGACCCAAAGTATTTAACTAAACACAAAAATGAATTAAATGGTAAAATGCGAACCATATTAATTGATTGGATGGTTGAAGTTGTTGAAGAATATAAAATGACTTCAGAAACATTGTTTCTCGCTGTTAACTTTGTTGACAGGTAAGTTCTCCCTTTGTTTGAATCTTACTTTCAGTTAATTAACTTTCCAACTGTTTACATTTTCAGATTCCTCTCTGATCTTGGTGTCATCCGATCCAAGTTTCAACTTTTAGGTAAGTTTTTTCCCGCTTTAATTTAAAAGATGATTTTCAAAATTTTAATTCTAATTGAAATTGTCTCTTTTAAATCATTTTCAGGAACAACTGCTTTATTTATTTCATCTAAATATGAGGAAATCTATCCACCTGACGTTCATGAATTTGTTTATATTACCGATAATGCTTATGACAAATTTGATATTTTAAACATGGAAGCCCAAATTCTTAAGGTAATTATCATGAAACTTGATTATTTTGTTAATTTTTAAATATCATTATCCATAAACTTATGAATATTTTTTCCTATTTACTGTTTAGACTTTGGAATTCAATGTTTCCGCCCCAACAATCCATTATTTTTTACGTAAACATCTTTGCTCCCTTGGCTTGGAACTCGGTTTACCACAAACTGTTGGCATAATGGCAGAGGTAAAAACATACCTTTAATTGGTCACTTTCTTAATTGTGCTAATATAACTAAACTTTATTTTACTTTCCTTTTGTTTTATTAGTATTTGTGTTATTTAGCTCTGATGGAATGTGATCCCTGTGTAGCCTACCTGCCAAACGATATTGCCGTTTCAGCTATCATTTTAGCGGCCGATATTTTTGGTATCGACTTAACTTTATCTGGAGAAACTGGGCAGGCATTTTTCCCAGGATATTCTGAAGAACAACTGAATGCTCATTTAGTTGAACTTCAAACATGTATCGATACCTTGCATCGTGTAAGAAAAACCACCAAAGAGGAAAACGATGCTCTTTTAAAATTGGGCAAACCGCAACAAGCCATTTTCAATAAATATGCTCAAGAAAAGTAAGTAAACCAAAACCAAAACTAAAACTCAAAAATGACAATCAACATGACAAATTAACTAAAATCTTGAATGTCTCTTTATTCTCCTTTTCTTAGATATTTTTCTGTATCATTAATCGACATTGGTGAACATGAATCGCCTAAATTACTCCCATAATTTATTACTTAATTCCTATGATAATTATCCTAATACTCTGACCCATAATACTGTGAATTGTCATATAAACTTAATTTGGTACTCTGAAGCTCCCTGCTAAACGTGGACGTCTTTGTAAAATGTTAACCAAAAAATCATGAGGTGGATCCATCAAATTTATTTAATCATATAAAATAAAGCAATGTATTCATTGACCTAAATGATTGATCCATTGACATTGATTTGCTTGGATATCTAAGCTTTCAAGTTTATCAGTGACAATAAATCAATAATTATAATAAAACTCATAATATTTTAACAAAACCCTTAAAACAATTAGTTTGCTTAATCAAAATCTACAACAATGATCTTTAAATTATCCTTAAGAGAGATACAAGTGAACAATTTTGTAGACCAAATTGTTGGTAAATGAAAAAGATTAAGACACGAAAACAAGTTGAACAAATTAACAATTTTTTCTTCCAACAATTAACTGAAAAGTAAACACAATTATCTTGATTTGGTTTGATTCTTAATGATGAATTAAAATGGTTGTAAAGAGTAAGAGAAAGAGAGAGATATTAGTTTGGAGAAAAAGAAAACAAATGAAAGCGGAAGATTAAACTAAATCATATTCGTGATAATTAATCGCAGTGAACAATCAGTTAGAACAAACATTAAACAGCATAATTAAGAAATTGCGAATTAAATGAGAAACCAAATTGCTGGTTAGTTAATTGTTAGAAAACATTTACAGAAAAGTTGGTGAATCTTTTTAAGGGAATTGAAGAAGAAGAAAAAAAAAAGGTTCGGTTTTATATATTGAGAATAATTTAATTATTACTAAGATGGAAATTAGAATTAGAGTGGTAACAATTAGCTTAATTGTGAACTTATGGAATGATTAAAGAAAATTAGTCTAATCACAATTAAGAATTGATTGAAGAGACTCTCCTAATTGGCTTCCGTTGGTGTGGTCAAGTAGTAACTAAATTAGATATTTAATTAACACCTTCTCTTGCAATTTAACTGTAACAATTGGTTTTGTAGAAATTTAATTTCTACATCCAGTTAATCACAATTAAGGTAACAATTAATTTTACCCTTCGTATGTTCACAATTTGATACTTTAAATAAATTAGATTACGTTAATCATCATGATCATAATCTAACCCGTAGATGAATCAATCTGATAAATTGAAAGAAACTTTCTAATAATAAAACAATTAACCGTCCTAATTGTGATTAACTAATCAAAATACTAGGCCAGGGTTATCATATTAATTATTTGCTTATCCTTAATACAATTAAAATTGATTGTTATGATTAATTGAAAACGGAAATAACAAAATTCACTTAGTCAATATTTACACCGAAACAATTAAAACAAAACTGAGATTCATTGTCACTAACAATTATTAGAAAAGTTGATTCAATTAAAGTTTAAATTCTAATCATGATGAGCAATTGATTTAATCAATTTGGATTAACCAACTAATTTAGAAGATTAATCAATCCTTGAAATGAACAGAAAACAAATAAATAAAGATGAAAAAAAAAGAATCAACAACAAAAAAGTAACTCGAAAGTATTAACATTAATCGAACCCTCGATTAACCTTAACAACAATTAAAAGAAGCAACTGATTGCCGTTAGCGAGCATATTGAAATTTATTCATTTTAATCATAATAATTAACTGGTTATTCAATTGCCGACGTTAATTGATTGTAAAATTATTATAAATCATTAATATATTAGGTCAAAGGTAAGAGTAAAAAATTTCATCTCGAACTTTTTTACAGAACTTGTTTCAACTTTTTTTCTTCGTCATCATCCTCATCATCATCTCTCTCTCTCTCTCTCTCTCTCTCTCTCTCTCTCTCTCTCTCTCTCTCTCTCATTTGTCTTCTCTTTGCTCTCCATCATCATTACCTGTAATTCTCCCTCTCCCTCTCTTTCTTTTTCTCTCTCTTATCTTCCTTCCGAGTGAAAGTTTTCGTCCTCTTTTTAGTTTCTATTCAATCTCAATCAACCCTCAACCATCATCATCATCATCGTCTCTTAATCATCACTTTTTGTATTGTTACCTTGTAGATTTGATCATTTAAAGGTAAACCTTTTGATGGTTCACAATCAATCAGGTTGCAATCAACAGTTTTAAATTGTGTCTTGTTAACTGTAACAATTTAGTTTTTTGTTTTCAAGTCTCAATCTTGTAACCAACATTTCACTTTCTGTTGATATTTTGTCTTTGGTTTCATTTACTGTGATTGTTTTTTTTTGTTGTATAAAAATTTAAAAATCATTTTCTCATTTTTAATTGGGATCAAATTTTATGTTTCTGTTGACAATTAACTAATTACAAGGATCGACAATCAATCAATATGAATCTGTTTGATTATATGATGTGTTTCTTTGTCTCTAATTGTATCAGGTCCATGCCTGAGGGTCCAAGTCAAGTTCATCTTTCACTTTCTGGTGAGTTTACAATCAACAATAATTAAATTAATTGTTCATCTACTAATTTAGTAAATTCATCAACTAGTTGATTTTGTGTCAAAATGCTTATCACAATCAACTAATTTTAATTCTTAATCATCATAAGCTTTTCTCTCATCTAAATTAGGATTAATATATTTGATCTGATTGTTATTTGCTTGATTATCATTTAAATCATTTAAGAAAATGATTAGTTTATTTTTTTTGTTGTTGATTGTTAATCTAATTGTAACCATATTGTTTGACTTAATTAATGTATTAATTGATTTGAAAAGTAATTGCAATGGATTAAATTTCATACATTGACGTCAGAACGATGTTATTATTGTTATTTAATTGTTTAGGAGTTTTTATTTACATTAAATCAGTTTGATTAGATAATCGAATGGGAAATTTTTTTAATTACAATCAAATTTGAACAATTAATTTAATCATTTCTGACAAGGGACATTGATTATCAAATCAATGTCTCTTGTTAATTACGATGGAAATTGATTTTCTCTTTAATCAATGTGTTAATCAATTATGTAAATCATTACCATCTTCAATGGCAAGGTCAGTTAATTGTTGACAATTAGCAACAACAATCAAGGTACCAGATGAGTGAGTGACAAGAAAAATGAATTAATAATCAGAAATGATGATTAAATTAATTGTCATTGTTGATTGGGTGCAAAAAAGGACAAAATAATCAACTCTACAATTAGATAATTGCAATTGACTTGATAATCATTTGATTGTTAATTGTTGTTGATTTTGATGATATTATTTGAAATAAAAATGTTTCAAATTGTAAAAAATTAACAACAATTGACAAATTGTTGATGGTACTGATTGATGAACAATTTAATAATCACTTTAACCTAAACTAACCTTAAACTTGAGTTGATACTTGAATTAATCAACAATTTAGCAATAAAAATTATTGATTGGATTAAGGTCATTATAATGATCAATTGTTTAGTTAATTAATTAGTTAAGGTGGTTGGTATAATTAAATCAATAAATATTGATCAGTATTTTCATGATTGGGTAACAACATTGTTACAATTGTTTCAAATAATAGTTAATTGTAATTTAATTAATTGATTGAGTTCCCAATTTAATAATGTCAAAGTATCTTAATCATTATCATGATGATTAAAATTGTTAATTGTGATGATGATTTGACCTCAACTAAATAGTTAAACCAGTTTCCGTAATGTGTAACAATTTAATCTGGACTGACAATCTAATTACAATCGTAATCATACTCGTAAATCGTTAATCATCTGAATGAAGGTTAAGAGCAGCAAACTAAATTAATTTTAATCACTTCCGAGTTTGTTTATTTAGGTTTTGTTTGGATAATTATTTAAATCGACTCACAATTAATTGATCACTTTTGATTGTCACAATTGTGAATCAATGTTCACAAGCTAATTAACCATTCACTTGATTGATCTTGATTACAACTATTATTATTATTATTATTGTTATTACTACAACAATTAACTCAATTGTCGTCGTTATCGTTATTGTAATTAGCTAATATTTACAATTTAACTTGACGATAAAAGTTAATTGTAACAATTGGAAAATAAATAGAAACACTAATTGTGAGATTATTTTTTTGTGATTATCATTCATGATCATTATAATTACTGTTGATTAATTAAATATAATAATCATTTGAATCTCGATTTTTATCCTTGATTTGATTTGTTCATGAATTAACAATTTGATTAACAATTAGTTGTTATGATCCGGGTAATTTGTGACTTTTAATTTCTTCCTGATTAAATCAGCATAACCTTTGATTATCAAACAGTTATTGATGATCAAGGTTGATTACAATCAATGAACTCCAATATGATTTACTAATCACATTTTAATTGTTTATCCACAGAGGAATCAAGTTCAATGACAGTTAGTTGGAATGATATTAAATCAGTTTCAGATTCAATGGTCAAGTGGGGATTAGAGGCTAATCAATTGTCTAATCAATCGGGTGGACATTTACGTAGATTTGGTTCATTTGGCCGAGAGATTTTCTCATACTGGTCAGTGATGAACAATTTAGAACCAGATACAACTTATTGTAAGAATTAAATTGTCACAATTACCAATTAGATTGGCCAGTTAATTGTGAGCAAACTTATTTTTTTTAATCGTTAGATTATCAAGTTGGTGCAAAGGACAATCTCAGTCCGATATTCAGTTTCAAAACTTTGCCCTTTGGGACCAATTGGTCACCTCGAGTTGCCATTTTCGGGGATCTTGGACTTAAAAATGGTCAAGCGATTCCAATTCTGAACAACAGGTCGAGAGCTGGTGATTTTGACGTAGTTGCTCATATTGGTAAGAAATTGAAATTCGATAATTAATTAGCTAAATTGTATTACTTTTAATCGGTTGATCATTAATCATTATTTTCTTTTTGTTTTCTCCTTTTTCTTATTATTACCACAGGCGATATTGCTTATGATTTGTATTCAGTTAGTTTTAATTTTCATTATTAACGTTTAATTGTTAACTTTTACTTTTACAAGATAATTAATTAAAGTTGATTGTTTGATAATTAACAGAGTCATGGATTGATTGGAGATGAATTCATGCAAGCAATTGAACCAATGACTTCTGCAGTTCCATACATGGTTGTTCCTGGAAATCATGAATATCTACCAATCATTGGGTAATTATTATTAGTATTTCAATAATTACAAGAGTTAATTGTTGATATAATTGTGTTAATTTACTTTGCTTTGATTACTTAATGTACAGGGATAACGGTATCGCTTATCGATATCGTTATAAGATGCCAGGGGATTCCAATGACATGTATACATTTACTGTGGGTCCAATTTTGTTCATCACAATTTCAACTGAATTTTATTATTACCTCGAGGGCGGAGGGGCCAAAAAAGTGTCTGAACAAAGGGAATGGCTCGATAACGTACTGACCGAAGCCAATCAGCCCGAAAATCGAGCCAAACATCCCTGGATAATTGTTCTTGGACATAGACCTTTCTACTGTTCAAGTTCGAGGTTCGGCCGATGTCCAGGAGGAACCACTTGGGTTAGTTGAAAGATCAGATCGATTATTGAACTTTGATTGTTAATTGTAAATTTCTAATCAATCAGATACGAACTGGATCAAATTATCTTGGCAAGGGATTGGAGGATCTTTTTTATAAAGGAGGTGTTGATCTTGTCTTTGGTGGACACAATCACCAGTACGAAAGGATGTATCCAGTTTATGATCTACAGGTAAGTATTGATTCAATAAGAAAATTTGTCCTTATAATTAGTTAATTGTTCTAATAGTCTTAAATTGTTTGATCAATTTCCAAATACAGGTCAGTGGATCTCCTAATCCATATCAAAATCCAAATGCTACAACTTATATCATCTCTGGATCAGCTGTAAGATTATTGTCATTTAATTTTCTACCTTCTAATTGTTTCTAATTGGATTTTTTTTTCTTAATTGTTGGTTAATTAAGGGAAATCAAGAGGATTTAGATGGGTTCAAAGAGGACTCACCCGCTTGGAGTGCCTTCAGAAATACTGATTACAGTTACACCAAATTAACTGCCTTCAATTCAACACACTTAATGTTACAACAAATTTCAGTGCCAAGTGTAAGTTAATTAGTTGATTTGATTGTTTAATCTAATTGTTCCTATCTCTCTAATAATCTTGTTTATCATTCTAATAGGAGACAATAATTGATTCTGTGATAATTACCCAACGAAATCATCGGCCTTTTGACCAACCATGAGGTTTGAAAAGTTTATAACGATATTTAAATTGCCAAAGAAATTTTCAATCAATTAATTGTTGGTGTTGACCCAATGGTTGGGAAAATTTAATCAATCCTTTTAATTCAGTCAATCAAGATGACACGAGTGAGTGTATGAGTGTTTAATTAATTACACAAATCAACAAATCATCATCTCAAGGATCTCAAATATTATTAATAATTATTTTATCATCAACTTTTCATAATCCCTTTGAAAGCCTCCCAGTTAATCCTGTTAATCCATAATTATAATATAAAATATACCAATTATTTAATCTGCTACTTTATAAATGTATTATAAATTTGGTTTAATCAATTAATCAAATCAACAGAATTAAAAAAATCAAGAGATTTGTTAACTGTCACTTTATTGAGTCTACATAATAATTTGATTTCGTTTACAAATGTTAATTTATCTTTGGACCAAAAATCAAATCTTAATTGTAATCGAGATGGTTAATTAATCATCTCTATTTACATCCAATTGTTGCACATTAATTGTAAATAAAAGCTTTTTGTTTTTCCAGGTTAATTAATATCAGATTTTAAATGGTTTTCATCAATATTAATTTTTCCAATTCTAATCAATATTATTTGTAATTGTTGCTGTTGTTGTTGTTGTTTATCTTGCAATCAGCTGATAATAGTGATAATTGAGTATAATTAAAGGTCATAGGTTAAAATTGACAATTAGATGAATGAGATTGTAAAACTGAGACACATTAGGAATGATAATTGATTAGTTAATTTGATTATCACCTTTACACAAGGTGAACAAACCTCAAAGTGTAATAACCAGAGCAAGAAGGTTAATCATCGTTGGTTGATTGTTTCATTTAATATGATTAAAAGATAAAGGTAATTGGCAATCAGAAATTAAATCAACACCTGATGATAGTAATTAGATGAATTAGATTATAATAATATATATATTACAAGATGATTGCTTGATGATAATCAAAGGTAATTGTGATTGATATATTTTCATTTATAGTTTTGCTTTTATCTCATCATGTTTGGATTATATTTGGATTAATTATTCCTGGATAATTAACTAATTTGTTGTTTTAATTGGAAACAAGATTAAATTAATTTGGATATTTGACTTTTTTTTTCTCTGTGTTTATTGTTACTTTTAATTCCCGTTCTCATGAGCGTTAATCCTTATGGAATCCATTGGATTTATCAATTTGCATCCACAAAGATCCATCAAGTTTTTTTTTGTTTCTTCTTATTGATTAGACAAATACACACACAATTCATTGATTAATTAGTTAATTAACTATTAACATGTTTAAAGAGTGACAAAATGAAGGTTGAGATTAAATTGTTAACCCTGTAAACAAACGGTAACCAGTAATTAAAGGGCTTTTGGTTTAGGCTTTAGGGTTTATGGTGATATATTATTACAAAAGCAACGATAATAACATTAACATGTATTGCAAGATTGTCTCCTATTGTTGCTTTAACTGTTCAGTTGATTGTTGAAGTAATTTAATCATGCAGGAGACTAATTAGTTATTAGGATTAACTCGACGCTTTGTAATCAATTGATTTTGTGCCAGAACAAAAATCAAACAATTAAAATATAATCTTACTGAGTTTCAGGTGAGGTGTTCAAACAGGTACATGAGAGAGAGAGAGAGAGAGAGATTTGTTTTTCTTCAAAGACATTGCATATTGATGAAGATGAAGATTGATGATTGATGATTGATGATGGAGAAAATCAGCAAAAGTAAGAAAAACAATTTAAAAGAGATTTTAACAAATTAAAGGGAAACAAATTGCTAATTAGTTGAATTGATTTAACAAAATTTTTCTCTGTCATTGAGTGAGATGAACATAGGGAATGTGTTAATGAAAGATGATGATGATCACTCATGATGATTACGATGAGCTGGATATGATTGGGCTCTCTTTTAATTACCAATTAGGTATTATTTAGTTTTCTAAATGGTTAATTGTCCAGTGGGGACACAAAGAGAGATGCAAAAAGATAAAATTATAATCTTGTATTAATCTCACTCTATCAATTTTTTTTTGATTCCTTTGGTTTTAAAGATTTCGTTTGTTAATTTGGTTCAACGATGATTTAGTTTGATTAGTTCAAACTTAATTGTTAATGATGGAAGTATTTATCTATTTTCCTGTAGATTTGAAGATTGGGAGAGAAAGAGAGAGAGAAGATGATGAAGAAAGTGAAAGATGTAAATTGAACTGCATCAATTGGATGCTCTTAATCTGTACAGACGAAATTAGAATTTAAATTGTTACGATTAAGTCGATTGAGATGAAGACAAACAGATAATCGATGGTGAAGATGATGATGATGGTGATGGTGATTAATCAGGAAAACCAGAGAGAAAAAGAAAGACAATTTTTCAAAGGTAATTAGTTGATTTCGATTTTTTTTTCGCTTCTTGTAGTTATGATTATAATCGGTTTCGGTGTAATATAATTAACGCGTTTTCTTGGTGTTTTTGTTTTGTTTCTAATGGGTTCTAAGTTGATTGGATTATTTTCCACCTTCATCGGGATCTTTAAGTGAATGCCATTGGGCGATGGGTCGTCTTGGTGAGGCCAACATGTCCATCCAATGTCTTAACTCGTTACCTTGACAATTAGGTCCAACTTCAACCATACCGATTGGATCACATGTTCCAATACGATCATAATCGACGACTAATATTTTCACGGATACCTTGTTAATCTGTTCAAATGGTACCTCGAATTGGAATGATTCGTTGAAATAAGGATTGAGTGTACACTTTTTGACTGAGGTTTTCTTTTTCTTGATTCGTTTACCATTCATCATGAGAGATATTTTCACATAGGGATCCGATAAACCACCTAAATCCATTTTCTTCAAGTTCTTCGCCTCCAGAATACAAACAGTTAGTTTACCCGAAGTGGGAACATATCGAAGAGAGAAACAAATATCACCAAGTTTCTCGGGACCTTCTTCCTCAACCGACTGTAAATCTCTCCATTCTTCAATTGTCTGAGCCAAATCAACCTGATTCATTGGTATTCTAATCTCACCAATTTGATCATGTTTAGAGAATCTGAATAAAAAAGCAAACATCACAGAGAAATTACATTTCCAATCCAACAAAATGGTCCAAGCAAATATCTTACCGATCGAAGTCAAATACAGCCAATATTAGGGTTTTGGTGATAATTTCGTTATAAGGAACCTTAAAGTTGAAAGTTTCGTTGAAAACGGGATTCAGTGTCTTACGATGAACTTTAGTTTCGAATTTTTTCTTCTTGTCAGGTAAAAGGTAAACCTTAACATAAGGATCACTGGTTCCACCAACATCGCATGCAGGTAATTCTTCAGCTTGGATAATCGTTACCGCGAGCTAAATTATTATTATTATGTACCGAGAGGAAGAAAAGATAAATAAACAAAGAATAGAGGTAAAAGGATTTACCGTTAGAAAATGGAACCAATTTGATTATCATTGAAACAGATAAATATTAACTATTCATTCATGAATTTGCTCATGGCAACAAACGTTATTACGTTAAAATCATTTGAAACATGAAAACATTGACGATTAACATAATTTACTTAATGTGATGGAAAATGAATATGATTCAAATGTAATTTTCGTGATAATTGTATTAGTTAAATTATGAATTATCTTTTAATAGGATTTTCAATATCCAACACTGGACATTCATTCATCTCATTTACCATGATGAGCTTACTTTTTTTCAGGATATTTTTCTTGTGTTAGATTATTGATTAATTCTGGTGAAAATTAAAGGTAGTAACTGAATAATAAAGAGGTAATTCATCAGATTACTTGAGAATCAACAATAAATATCATTTCAATGGTGAAAAGATGAATAATAATGAAGGAATTATCAATGAAATTGATGGAAACCTTTTCAAGTGATTCAATTATTGTTAATATCAAGTTACCTGAGGTACTCATTGTAAACGAAAACTGATATTCAAATAAAACGAAGTATATAATCAATATAACCTAACGATTGGAAAGTTAAACATGATGATTTTAATTACGATTTGATTTGAGATTAGATTAATGATAATCTTTAATCTTGTGGAGATTAGTGATTGGTTATTTTTAGAAAATGTATTAAAAAATTGTTATCATGTGTTCACTTTGATTTCTAATTGGAAACAACGACGTAGGTTAGATTCTAGTTGTTATCGTTTTGTTGTTCGTGTGAACATTTCATGATGGAAATTGAGTTTATCGTTGGAATCGAGAAGAAAATAACACTTACATTATTGTTGTTGAAATCGTAGTCGAGTTTAAATTGTAATCTTCCAAGTTTTTGTGCTTCCTTTTCCTCTTTTCCAGCTTGTTCTTCCTCATTCTCTTCCATATTAGCGGTCAGTTCATCTTGATCTGGTTGAACCTTCTCTTTACCCATAGTACCAATCAAATTGACCGATTTAAGGTCAATACCTTTGAATCCTTTTCCTCGATCAGATTCTTTGAACTTTTTCCACCATTTGTTAAGACAGAAATAGAATAAAGCCAAAATGGTGACTAGAATGACCAAAAGAATCAGCAAAATGGCCGCAAATGGAATATGAGTTGCCGTTGAAACCGCTTGAACATCTTCTTTGACTATTTGCCATGTTGATTCGGTGGTGGTGGTGATGGTAGGACGAGGTGTTCCCTTTAAACTTGGCAATTTACTCGTAACTTTACTAGAATGAGGTCGCTGGGTGGTGGTGGTTGTAGTCGTCGGTTCAGGAGCCATTGATGATGTATTTTCCATGTTTTCATCTTCTTCTTCCTCTTTTTCTTCCTCCTCATTTCTATTTCTCTTAATCCGGTGTAATAACAAATTGTATCCATGTTGATAGGCGTATGGTGGCATTTTGATTACAATTTAGTCAATCACAATCAACACAATTAGAAAGAGAAACAATTACAATAAGCACCGGCGATAAAATGAGAAGCAAAAAAACTGATGGCGATTCTAATGCTTGGCAGAAACACTGAGAGAATGAGACTAATAAGTATCAACAGAAGAAATTGAAAAATAGATCCAAATCTTAAAACAAATAGAGAGAGAGAGAGAACAATTAGTTAATTAGATGTGAGAAAATTGGTGGAAAATTGAATATCTTACCTTTAGAATTAGTATTAATCAGCTAATTAATAAGCATCTCATTGGGAAATGGGAGATGAGGTTTGGCCCATAGACACAAAGGTTAGAGTAACAGTTAACCTTCAAGACCAATAGAGAGGAAAAGTAAGAGAGAAATGAAGATAAAGTAAGAGGAAAAGTAAGAGGAAGATGATGAAAGGAAAAGAGAGAGAGAGAAAAAGGTAAAACCCAGAATTGGATCGAAAATACAATTAGAATTGAATTAAAATTTAGGTTACTGATTATCAAATGGAATCTAATTTACCCTCTGTAATCCAATGGAAAATCAATGTAAATGATTAACAGTCTTATTCTGAAATTATCAATTGGAATAAAGAAAAACAAATATTACAATCAATTAATCACAATGTTCAACTTGGTTTTAACACTCACAATTTCAACGTAAGAGTAAAGGTTAACTCACAATTATTGTTGATGGTAAACAATTAGAGTTAAAGATGAAGATAATTATCAGATTATAATTAGAAATCTAAAATCTCTTATATTTATGATGTATTATTGTTATTTTGGTGAATCAGAATTACTATAAATTAGAGCGCAGTTACTATTGTATTGATTTTCTAGAATTCGCCTTCACCTCACTGGGAGTGAATAGACAGAATTTCAGAATTCGGAACTTATCCAGTCCGCAGAATCGTAACAAACCATATAAACCAAGCATCGTCTTCCTTATCATCATCATCTTCTTCTTCTTCTTCTTCTTCCTCTTCTTCTTAGAAACCATGAAAATAGAATAAAAAAGAGAAAGAGTTTCAATGATAATGGATCAATAAATTAATTCACATTCTAATCAATAAATTGTTAAGGTAAACTCATTTTCTTTTCATTCATTGTTATCTTAATTAACAATTTAACTTTTCCTTTATCTCATCATTTGTTAATCATTTACAACGATTAACAAATTGTTATTTTTATATTCTTACCTGGGAGTTTAATAAAACCGGTAACTATTTATGTTAATTGTTACCGTTATTATTTAATGATTAGGATGATTTTTAATGATCTAGAAAAAAAAAGTTTAATTTGATAAGTAATTTACATTATTTGATAGTTTTACAATTTAGATTTTATAAATTGTTGTTAAACATCATTCATTTGATTTGATTAAATAATTACATCGATACTGTTAATCAAATAATCACAATTATCATTTAAAAATGAGACTTAGATTTTCATTAATAATCAAGAGTAGTAATTGAATGTAAATTGTTAGCAGCAATTAAATATTAAATTGATTAGAATCGTTTTAAAATGTTAATTGATTATATATGATTAAAACTCAATAAATTGATTGATAAATTAACTTTACATCTAATACAATTAACTGACAATTAAAGTAAATATTTTACAATTGAATGGGTTAATATTTAGGATGTTAGGGGACATGAGAGAAAAGGTAATTAAGTTAATTACATAATTAGTTTAATCATCTTTCTAGTGATACATTGGTGATTAACTGAGAACAACAAATTGTCAAATTAATTGTTCCTCTCTCTGTATTAATTGTTGGCTAATATTATTGTTATTATTGATTCCATTGAGGTTTACCAAGGAAATTAACAATTTAATGTATAGATTGAAAAAAAAGATGAAGATGATTAAGTTAATCATGTAATTGATGATGATGACGGATGGTAACCATGTTTATATTCACAACCATGTTAATTTGTTTATAATTAGAAAGTTATTATTGATCCATGTTAATATAAACAGTTAATAAGTTAATAGTGATTAAGGAAATTAAGACATTAACAGAAAATTGTAAACAGAAATTTATATTAATCTAAATGATTTTTGTTTCTCTAAGTTTCCTGATTATTGAGGTTGAAGGAAAGACGATTGTAGGTGTTAATTAAAGGTTAATTGTTGGATTATTAACTTGTGTAGTTAGTTAACTAGTCAAGGTTTTTCCAATAGGTAAAAGTTAACATGATCATTAAATCAACTAAATCAACTGGTGAGATTATAACAGAAGAGACAATTGGAGAAGGCATTTACTATGGACTATGTTAATACTTATTAATCAGTTGATTTAAGGTTCTAATTGGTGTGACAATTAGAATCAGAATTTGTTGTTTGTTTGTTTGTTTGTTCACTAAGGTTCACTTGCTATGACAGTTTAAGTGAAAATGAATCAAGAATGATTGATCAGCTGATGATTAGAATGGTTTGTGATCATTTCAGTTTGATTATTGTTGAGTGAATTTGGAAGCGAAAGTGAAACAAGAAAAACTTTGCTTTAATTGTTTGGTTAATCCTGTTACCCTAGTTAATCAGTTAATCGGATTGATCAGGAATGAATGATGAATACACATGATGAACTTTTCTTTCGGTGAATTTGAAATCATAATCCCATTAGCTCATCTCTGAGAAGATACTTTGTCCAATAAAAGGCATTGAAAATGGCAAATAGAAATGGGAACACAATTCGTGAGGTGACATCGATTTTCTTGGATCTTGTCGTGAATCTTGATAACCAACTTGAGAAGAAATTTCCTTTCGGTGGCCTTTTTCGGGGCAATTTAGTTGACCCTAGAGCTTTAGCATACCCAATGGGACCATCTTCAACATCGGACGATTCAATACCCGAATCTTTAGCTGTGTCAAACTTTTTTCGAGCACCGACAATCCCCTGATTCCGACGTAGCCTTTGTTTACCCGCTTTAACGGCATCAGTTCGAGAAACATAATTTACTATCGCAAATTCAATGAGAGCACCAAAGACAAAGATTAAACAACATCCTGTCCAAACATCCACCGCTTTGGTATAACTGACCGGTGGTAGAGAAGCGTTAATACCAGAGATTTGTCGGGACATTGTGAGTAAAGATGTTACACCGAGAAGGACTCGAGCAGCGGCAGAGTTTGGGTCAATCCAAAAAGAGACCCAAGAGACGATGACCAACATACAACAGGGAACATAGATTAAGAATAGATAGTAACTAAATTCACGTTTAAAAACTAATTCCACTTTGAGGCAACTATATTCCCCTGTAAATGATCAATGAAAAGAAAACAACAACAACAATTAAGATTAACAATCGTAGTTAACTAATACAAAAGGAGAAGAGAAAAAAACATCCAACAACATGAACCAAATCGATTACGAAAAATTGATCTAAACGGTAAATCCAAATATCGGTTAACCATTTTTCCCAACGAAAAGTTTCATATGGATTCATTTCGATTTCCATTTCGATAATCAAAGTTAATTGCTCGAAATTAGAAGCCCTAACAATGTATTCTAATATTTAACCATTGGTTTAATTGTTTATCTGCTTAGGTTAATTGATTCATATGGTTTGTGGTTGTTGGTTGTTTTTTCACTTTAATCCTTTAGAAACATTTTCCTTTGGATTAATTGTGATTGATATCATTTGATTGTGGGTTAATTGTTACGTACCAGTATTTGTTTTACTTGTACAATAACTGGTCAGATATTTCATCAAGGTAAATCTTGGAAGATGAAGTGACTTGGTGATCTGAACTGGATCACCGGCTCTCCACAGGAAAACCAAATCCTCGGTTGTATAACCATCTATTAACAAGATTAAATATACAGTTAGTTTGTGGATTAAATAATCGTCAATTAGATTAAGATAATTAATCATTAAATTGAATAACTTACAACTGGCCATTCGAATGGAACAATTTTGTATATCTAATGGAAAATATTTAAGGTCCATTGGACAGAAGAGGTTTAAAGAGATACGAATGGAATAGAGGATATCGCCATTGGGAAATATTCTTAATAAAACATTAGGCATGATAATATCATGGAAATGACCATATTTCTCATTGGAAAAAAACAAATCGGGTTTCCATAATTTCTCTGGGTCAGTTAGAACCAAGAATCGAATCCTTCCTCCCATGTCATCGAATACAAGTCGACTGTCTCTCCATTCCTCTCTGAATGTTATCTGAGTAGCATATTCCTAATTAAGAATAATAGAAAAGTATATATATATTTATCATAATGTAATCGAACAATCAATTAATCACCAGGAGAATTAGAATTTTTTTATCAGTCAGTGATTCTGAAATTCTGATCAACTGAAACTCACCATTGTAACATCATCGATTCGAGATATACTTCTGATGAATATATTCACTTTAACTATGCAAGGTTCATCTGTAGAAGAGGAGAAAATGTTTCAATCGATAATTATCATCATTAGAATAGTTAATTAATTAGATAATTACCACCGTCGAATGTGGCATTTGCCCCCGAAGGTCTTATCCTTGGATCGTAAACTCCTTTGCCGATTATTTTATCGAGAATCTTTTTCTCAGCCTGTCGAAAACTGGCCGAACCTCTGGAAGATGATTAAGAAATTAAAAGTAATTGTAACAATTAAAATTCAACAATTAAGGTAATAGAAAAGTCCAATGAAATATGATCAATGAAAATTGAGATGATCGAAAAGGAAAAGATTAATTTTCAATCCATTCCACTAATCGTATCTATAAATGAATCAGTTTAACGTTTAGTTAACTGTTTGGTGTAATTTAAATCGCATTAATTACTCACCTTACTGATGTTATTGAAAAAGCAGCAATTAAAATGTACGAGAATATAATTGTTAGTAAATCATTCATTGTGAATTAGAAATGATTACTGGTGAAAACAGAAAATTTATGCAAAGAAAAAAACAATAAGTGGTAATATTAATTTTCATTGGGAAAACATGAACAGGAGATTCTGGTTAATTGTTGATTAATTGTTGAGAATAAATGATAAACAAGTAGATTAAATTACTGGAGAAATTAAAAGAAAAAGAATAGAAATTAAATTCCATTGAAGAAAATGAAAGAATTGATTCACTTTTCTTTTCGATTATTTCTGATTAGATATTATCAGAGTTTCGAAATGAACAAAGTACATGAAAGCGCATTCTCTTTATTGATTTTCTTCATTGAGTTTGCTTAATTCAGTCCAGAATTGGAATCAGAATATAAATACAAAACTGGGAGTGAGTGAGAGAGAGAGAGAGACAAAATATCTCATGGAATTCACTTCTTTTCCTTCCTAGTTCTTTGCTTATTCCAATTTCTCTCATTACATTAGATTGTCACTTTTTCTTTTGACCATTGGACAAACAAAGAAAAGCAAGAAGAGCAAAATTATCGACCATTATAACAATCAAAAAGAAACAAATATAAATAAATGTCATCAAAAGCTAAACACAGTAAACAATGAGTGGGTATAAATTGATTAATTGTATCACAGAGATTTGGGATGAAGGATTAATTTACAGTGGCAATTGTGTCGCTCCAATAGATGTCATGTTCATTGGGACAATTTGTTGATTGTTGTGAAAATAATTTTCTTTTGAAAAATTGGAAATGGAATTTGATGAGATGATGTGATGATTGAGAATGATTAAAAAGAATCAGATTGATAAATTAATACAATTTGTGATAAATTTGTTGGATAACCAGTAATTGGACATTTTTCATTCTTCTCAACGTAATCAATTAAACATTGTTGACAAAAGAGAAATCCGGAGGTTTTAAGTAGGGCTTCATTACGACGAGGTTGCGAGCAAACTGGACAGTAATTAGGTGGACAATTAAGTAAATCTCGTTTCTTGGGTGCTGGTGGAATTTTCAAATTTGAAAAGGTTGATCTTGAATTTTCCCGGGAATACCAGAAATCAAGGAATTGTATCAACATGGCTGAACTTGTTAAAAATATACCAATACCTTTGGTTAAAGGTAAGATAAACGATGATAAATTTGATCTCCAACCTTGAAGATCCTTTGAATCAGCTCTAATTAAACGAAGACCAAGAAGGTGATACAATGGATTATGAGTTGAACTTTTACCGACTGCATATTTAATTTGATAGACAAGACAACTGACTTCCCAAAGAGCTTTAATATATGGATAATTGTTGACAAAATGGTAAGCAAATGGATCTCCATCTCGGGTTATTCCTCCTTCAAAGTGTAATCTCGCCAATTCATCATGAATCTTGTCCAATTTTGCTTTAACATAGGAAAATGAGGCCATAACCAATAAAGAAGTGACAACATCTCGGGTTGATAATTTTTCGCTAATACAATTGGCATCACTTTTAATCCTTTTCAAATGGTAAAAATATTCAGAGAATGAACCATTAAACGATCTTAAATGTAATCCTTCAACTATTATATCATATAATAGATAAGCTTCATCAAAATATTGATAAAGTAACCGGAATCTACCAGGATAATTAGATGCCAACACTTGAGATAAATATTTAATTCCAGTCCGAAGTGATCGCGATAAACTGTCTTCAGCAAATACTTCATAGATTGAAGGTAAGTGACCACTCATCAGACTGTTGGGAACAGTATAAGTGTCCGGAGTTAACGCCATATTGCACAAACGTAATAAATACAAAGCCAACAATTAGAAAAATAATTAAATTAATAATCAACAAATTGAAAAACATCAACAAGAAAAAAAATCATCTGATTTCAAGTCGACCAAAACGAGCGCCATCTATGGGACGAGTTTCGTTGCTCGCCTGTGATTGGCTCGTTTGAAAAACGATTGTTGATCAAGAAGTTGAAAAATTGTTCCACCAGAATTTTAATTGTTTTAATTGATTTTTCTCTGATTGTTTTTATTTTATTTTATATTATAAATTTTAATTAACTAGTGAACAAGTGATGGACAATCAACTAAATAGAACATCTGATAAAGAAAAGTAAGTAAATTGTGTAAAGGTGAACGTAAATCTTTTCATTTTTAAATCTCTCTCTGTTAACGGCGTTACTTTGATCAACTGTCTTTGTTTCTTTTTTTCGCTCCTTTTTTTTGTTTTAATTAACTGTTGTGATTTTTTTTGTTTTATTTTTTTTTCTTTGATCTTCTTCTTTTCTAGTAATGGGGATAGTAATACTGTTGCCGTGAAAGTAGAAGCCAATACTAGTAACTCATCTAAAGAGAAACAGAATAAACCACTGAGACAATGGGTGTTAGACGATTTCCAAGTGGGTCGACCTTTGGGTAAGGGTAAATTTGGAAGTGTTTACCTTGCAAGGGAAAAGAAGAGTGGATATGTAGTTGCTCTAAAAGTTCTATTCAAGTCTCAATTAATGGCTAATAATGTTCAACACCAGTTACGTCGTGAGATAGAAATTCAATCACATCTTCGTCATCCTAATATTCTTCGGCTTTTCGGTTATTTCCACGATAACACAAGAATCTACTTAATTTTAGAATATGCACCACAAGGTGAACTCTACAAGAAATTACAGAAATTGACAAAATTCTCAAATGAGCTCGCTGCTCAGGTAAGAAAATTGCTACAAAATTTACAAGTTAATCCAATCATATTTAACTAATCTCTTGTTCTGCCTTCGATTTTCCCATAGTACATCTACCAAATGATTGATGCTCTCAAATATTGTCACTCGAAAAAAGTCATCCATCGAGATATCAAACCTGAGAATATTTTACTTGGTTATTTTGGTGAGCTTAAAATTGCCGATTTTGGTTGGTCTGTCCATGCACCTTCCTCACGGTAAGATGAATTGTTCATCACTAAACTGAACAATAATCTTTCAATAATTATTAATCAATTGTAATTATTTCCAATTCTCAGACGAGCAACCATGTGTGGTACTCTAGATTATTTACCTCCCGAAATGGTGGCCCATGATTCTTACAGTGACAAAGTTGATCATTGGTGCCTTGGTGTTCTTACATATGAATTTCTGGTCGGCAAACCTCCATTCGAGAATGAAGATGTATCCAAAACATATAAAAACATTTTAGCCGTCGAATACGAATTTCCATCTTATGTCCACGAATTGGCAAGAGATTTTATCTCATCATTTTTAAAGAAAAACCCAGAACACCGGATGTCTCTGGATGACGCTCATCGCCATCAATGGATAACATCATTCCGAGGAGAATCTAATAACAAACATCTTGTATAATTTTTTATTCTTTCATTAATTTCAGTGTTTTTTTCGTCCCTCAAACCCCGATAATGAACATGACCTATCCAAATATACACTCACACACACACACACATATACACAAACACCCATCAAGTACCATCGCTGACCAGCATAATTTTCATTTTATAAAATTCTAAAATCAAATGGTCATCTTTTCATACTGAAAAAAACAAAACACTAATTGTAACTAAACTGGAAACATATAAACAATTTGGTTAAATTGTTAGATGTTTATCTCTTGAAACCAAACCCTAATTTAATCACCGGAGAGATAATGATTAATCAAGGTACATTTGGTTACTTACAATTAACCAACAGAACGAGATGATAAACACAATCTAAAATCGCAATGAAAGATTAACTACTAATTACAATTGATTAACTTGACGATTAAAACAATCTCAATAATTTATTTAGTAATTATCAGAGTTTAATCAACCTCTAAGAAGGTTGTTCAGTCATTTAATTAATCAAACCAAAAACAAGACAATTAACTGAGATTATAAATGAGAAATTAAATCTTGTGATAATATTCAAGGGCATCAACAATTGAAACATTGATACAGAATTTGCGAGCAATTAATTTCTCTCAATTAAAACGTCACAATCAAATGATTATAATGATCAACCCTTTTTACTATTACTAATTATAAATTAATTTCCATTTACATAATTTATTAATCAATGAACCCGAAGAGAAAATCATTGAAAAGTAAATTACAACTTGATTGTTTTCAAAACACCGAACGCGAACAATTTAGTTAATTTAGTTTTATGAGAAAAAAAATTAAAAGATGAAGATGAATTTAAATTGTATAAGGTCAAGGTTGGAATTAACTTAATTGTTAATCAAAGTTGAGACTCTCAACTATTGACAATCAACTGAATTTGAAAATTTTCCGTTAGAGTGTTGATAACCTTTAAGTTAATTCCAACAATTAACAGAATTTCATTTGCATTTGGAGCGTTAATTGTTAATCAAGCCTTTGAATCCCAAAAAAAAAATGTTTCAATTACACTGATTAACTAATTGTTAATCAGCTAGAAGCAATTAAAGAGTTAAATTATTGAGAAATATTGTCTTTTAATGTGAGTGACATAAATTGATATTGAACTTGATTTAAGTAAAAAAGGATTAATTATCAACAATTAACATTATATCAGGTTGGAGTTTCATAACCACAATTTAAGATTGAACCCATTGATTAAAGTTAATTGTGATTAAATTTCAATTTAATCACAATTAACACCAAAAGTTTCCTGGTCAAGTTACAGTTTAAATGATACAATTAAGTGAAAGATTTTGTCTGTCTAACAATTAACTAAATCAATAGGAAGAAGGTAATTATTAAGATGGTATAGAATTCACAATTTACAAATTGTTATGATAATTAAATTAACATGATGGATAATCATTTAATTATTATTATAAATTAGCTCGGAAAATAATCATCATCAACATTGACCGATATTTTTAAATCAATGATCATACATTAATTGTTACAATTGAATATTTAAAATTTGATCATCATCATCAATTGATTTAATTAAACTTTTCTCTCATTAAATCACAATTAAGGTACCTTTTTACCTTCACTAAATTAAATTAATTCACTTTTCCAATTTATTAGAATCAATATTAACCTTGACCGAGGCCATGGACAATTAACTAATTGTCTGATACAATCAAATTATCCTTGGCACTATTGAAAATGTAACCAAAAAAAAAACTGATCAACTAAATTAGTATTATTATTATCAATCAATAATAACAATTAATAGTTAATTGTAATCAAAAATTACGGGAAAATAATTGAGAGACAAATTTGATTTGATTTGTGAATTTTTTTATTCATTATTATTAATATTTTTGTATCAATATTTGATGATTGATTTACAATTAAAATATAATATAATATTTATATTTGTTGATATCTGTACATTTATATAACAATTAAACTGTTGAAACGTAACAGATTGAGAGGATAATTAATTGTATGATTAATTTACAATGATGATGATGATATTTTGATGATTACGATGAAGTGTTTATGTACAATATATTTATAAAGGAAATCAGTTGATTGTCGACAATTAAAACGAGTAATTTGGAATCGCTGATTTAACTGAAGGCTTTGAATCAATGGTGTTAATCAGTGTTGATAGTGTTTTTTTCAATGAGCAAGAATTGGGTGTTGATGTATCGTTGCACATTGGCTTGGTCAACGTTAATTTGGACGTTGTTGAGGGTTGACTTGAGATGACCAGGTCACCATTTAATGTTGACGGTGAGTTAATTGTTGACGGATTAATGGACCAGGCGAAAGATGATAAAAGTGACAATAGAGATGAAGAAACTGAAAGATCACGTTCATCGGACATTGGGAGGTTATCGAAGGCCAAACCAAAGGCTAATAAAACATCGTCACCATGAGCACCGGTTTTAATGAATTCTGGTGCCAAAGAGAATGCTGGTTTATAATGTAATCGATAAGTTGATGTTTCAATATCAGAAGCTGATAGAATTTTTCTCAATGTATTTGCATGAGAGTTGATCATTAGTTCAGAGCAAAAGTTGACATATTCTCGAGCCAATGAATTGGGATTGGATTTAGATGAGGATCGTTCTTGAGATTTAAAGAATGACTTGAAAATGGCCTCAGAATTTTTAGTTGGATAAGTTTTCAAATCTTTCTTTGCCAATGAGATGATCTGTTGTTCACTTATATCTCCTGATACCAATTTGTTGTAAATATTTCGCTCTGCAAACATCCAGGTAAGTAAACAAAGTGACCCTTCAGCCGCAGTTGATCCGATCATTACTGATTCAACACCTTTGGCGATTTCACCTCGACCCATGGCATTTAAAGGTTCATCGGTGATTAGAACACCATCGATTGTTGGTCTCCATCCATAACCAGATTTACTCAATAATTCATCAGAATCGGCAAAGTAAAGGCATTTGGAGGCATTTAATTGGTCACATCCCAATGAACGAAGGTAATTCTTGGCTCGGTCATTTGGTGATTTCTCAATTGTAAAGTCACCAACAGCGACACCGGACATTAAAATGGCTCGAGTGAAAAGTGGCTCGTCGATGTTTCGTAAAATTGGTGAGGCGAGAAGATGAGTGATCGCCATTGAACCAGTAAATCGACCGAAAACTGTTACCTTCTTCGAGTCACCACCGAAAGCAGCGATGTTTTCTTGGACCCATTTAAGAGCTTCAACTTGATCCCAAATTCCCATATTACCCTGAGCGATAATATCATCTTTAAGGAAACCGAAAACACCAACACGATATTGAACAGTGATAACAATCACTTGACCAAATGCTGATAAATAACTTCCATCAAATTGGTTGGCATCGGCGAAATCATAACCTTCACCGGCAAACCAAACCATAACTGGAAGACCGGAAGATGAGGATGAAGATCCATTGGAAAGTGGAGCATAAATGTTCAAGTAAAGACAATCTTCTGATACCTGAAGATAATTTGAAATGAATGGAAAAAGTAAATTAATATCAAATTTGAAAGAAAGAATAAAATTTTCGTCCATCAAAACAATTAACCAATTGTATTGGCTTTTAAATCAATGGATTAGATAATTACCTTGTGGTCAGAATCAAAGTTCAATAGTGGATTAATCGCCTCAGAGATGTGAGGGAATTGGATACAAGTTGCCGCTGGTTTGGTTGCGTCGATGATTCGGATCGGGTCAATGGTTAGAGGTTGAGGTCGACCGAATCTTCGAGAACCGGTGGGTGGTTGAGCATAGGGAATTCCGAGGAATTGATTAACAGCGATTGAACTTGTTTTGTGAACAGTTACACCTCGAATTAGTCCAGTTTTACTTCGAGCGATTGGTGAGAAAGGTAAAGATGATTCCGATGGGTCAGTTGATGAGAGAACGATAGTTGACCCAACAGTTAATAGACAAAATAAAGTACGAACAAGAAGATTAATAAACATTGTTAAATAATCGTAAATGTAATTGAAAAGATTTAGAGTAAAATAGGAAAAGTTTTGTTTAAAGTTTGGAAATTGTTGTTATGCTTTTGAAGATTTGCAAGTGAATGATAATCTGAAAGTAACTCGGAGTTGCTTTTATACTGAATCGATGGCGATTCAAGTTGTTTATCTGTTAACATGTCAACAGAATTTCATGTTCCTTGGAAAGAGAGAGAAAGAGAAAGAAAGAGAGAGAGAGAAAGAGAGAAGGCGGAGAGAAGATAATTTTTACCTGAAAAATCAGAGAGAAGATAATGAGATTATCATGATGGGAGAGAGAGAGAGAGAGAGAGAGAGAGAGAGAGAGACGAAAAAAGATGAAAACAAAATTTTTTCCAATCCAACGGTTAGGTCAGTTCATTCAGAGGGAACGAAGATCTGGTCTGACAAGTATCATCATCATCTTCAATCATCCAGAGTCTCTTTCTTTTCTTCTTTCTCTGATTCTCCACCTTGGCCGCTCTCACTTGAATTCTCAAGGCGAATCACATTAGATGTCAGTTACCCCTTGTTTACAATTTTTCTGGGAATTTTTCGCCTCAATTCATGATTATGATAAACAAAATCATCTCTCACTTTCTCTTCATCTTGACCCACTCCTATGACCTTTTTCAATAATAACCAAAGGCCTAACCGGTTTTATCGTAAATTTTTCTTCTCTCTCTCTCTCAATTAAATCTCTTTACCTTAACTTTCTCTTATTTTCTTCTTTTTCTTTTTCATCATCATCAGAACTTCGCATGAAAATTTCATTTCGATCATAAGAAATTCTTTTTATCTTTTCTTTTTCTTTTTCTTCGTTTCTTATCTTATACTTATAATCCAACAATTAATCAACCATCAATGCCTTTCCCATTCATCACAATTTCATCATGAGCTCTCGTAAAAAAAGTTAATCAATCTGATTACTAGACTAGTGCATCTGTCCGAGGGCAATGTCCAGTCCGAGAAAAGGAAAAATAATAAAAAAAACAAACTCATAATTCATTTTGTATTTGAAACATTGAATCAAAAAGCGAAATCATCCCAATGAAAACTTTCACCATAAATCTCACAACAATCAAAAAATCGTTGCACAATCAAACACTTAAATGATCATTGATCTAATCATTGCAATTGATTCTAGGCAATAAAAAACAACCAGTTAAATTGTTGCAGTGATTAAATCAGTGTAATAGTAAACAATTTAAACCTGTTGACTTGAGTAAAAAATTTTTGTTTACAATGAAAGTTGATAAACAACAACAACAACAAGATAATGAACTGACAGTTGATTATTTTGTTTACAACTAGAATCTAACTGAATTGGAACTAAATTACACCAACAATTATCTCACATGATACTCAGCAGAGCTCATCTTGAAATAGATTGATGGGGATTCTCATCATGTTGTTGATTATTTTCCAGGTAAATGTTGTTATTGTTGACAAGACTTTCCTATGATAACAAGTTTCAGGTCATCAGGTAATCGTAAACAAAAACAACCCTTAACCCAGCCCATTGAAACCTTGAAATTGATGAAAACAAAAACAAAATTAAACGTTACTCATTCATGATGATCATTATTTGATTCATTTAGTAATTTTTTTCATGATAATAATAATAGTAACTCTCAGTCTCATGATATAATTATCAAAGTAACGACAATAAGTTAATCAAAATCGGTTTCATGCTCACAACTACTTATCAATTAATCTGATGACTGATTAAGTTAATTGATATAAGGAAAAGTGATAAGATTAACAGTTATAATCTGTGGATTGACATAATCACAATAAACTTATCAATTGATTAGTTGAATAATTAAAATTAATATTCAATTGATTGATTTACGTTTCCTTTTGATTGATTGTTGATTCAATTTTTCACTTTCACTTTCACTCTCACTCACTTTTTTTTCATATTCAATTGGTTGAAATTTAAATTGTGAATTTATGAGACAAAATTGATGATATAACTTGTAAAATTAACTTAATTGTATAAATTGGTTAGTTAATTGCCTCTAGCTGATCAGTAAGAGTTGAATGAACTCATAATCAAATTGTAAATGGTCAAGTGATAATCAAATCCATGTATTACAATTTAGCTTTTCCTCTTTTCAAATTTTTACCGGAAAGATTTCAAATTAACTAAATTAAATTGAATTAAATTCACTTGATTATTATTATTATATTGCGATTGCTTAATTTAATAAGACTCATATTAATTTGGTAAATAATCAGAGCTTTAAATTAATCATTTAGTGAATTAAATGAGCGTTTTTTGTTGCCGTTCAAATTAAATTGTTACCTTTTTGTTACTTATCCAAAATGTTGAATCTCATTTATGGATTTTAATTAACAGAAAGTGTTAACTGTTTCAAATTAAATCAATAATAATAATAATTGTACAATAAGTTAATCTTTTTGTGTGTGATGATTAGTTAATCCAGTTGAAAGTTCATCCGTTCATTGTCCTAATTGCAGGATGACGATCCCATCTTAATCAATCCTCAATCAACTAATCATCGCTTATTATCATGTTAACTTGATTAGAGCTCAGCACCTTCCGAACGGTCAAAAGGGTGCAAACTATTTTCGAGCTGTTCCTGTCATCAGAATCATCATCTTCTCATCATCTTCATCATGTCAACAATCAGCTGATTGTTATTGTTATTAATTGTGATCAAAATTTCAGAAAAAAAATCATCACCATTGTTATTACATAACTTTTTGTGTCTTCAACGTTACTCCTTTGGATGATGATGATGATGATGATGATTGTGATTACGAGCCTGATTATTATCAGAATTATTAACTAATTGATTGAAGGGATGATAATTATTGAATTAAATTGTTGTACACTACGATTAAGAGAAAGTGATTAAAATTCAAAGAGCCTTCAACGACCTTCATCTTATTATTTTTTTTTTCGTTCTATTCGAGTTCATTAAACATTGGGAAGGTAAACTTATCATCTGATTATTATTATGATTAAATTAAACTTAAACTAAATTAAATTGTGAAGCTAATCTAGTTTTGAGTTGAGTTTAAAGGCTTAATCAAAGGAAAGAATTGATTAATTATAAGAAAATTCAAAAAGTTTCGAGGATAAAAATCGTTCATAAGAAAAAGTTTTTTTTTCTTCTTTCGAATTTTTTTTTTCGCTTCTCATTTTGGTTCATATTAAATGAGCATCGACAATGAACATTGCTCATATGATTCGTTGATTGTGACTGTTAATTGTAATAGTATTTTGCATTAATTATCTCGATTTAAATACTTTTTGTCTTACCATTGATTTTTCCGTTGATAAGTTTTAATTGTTGGGGAAAATTTGAAGAAATGTTTTATTTTTGATCGCAATTGATTGAATTATTTTTTTTTCTATAATTCTGTTAATTTTACCAATCACAATTTAATTGTAAACGTGATTCGATATTTTAATTTAATCATCACATGGGAAATTGTTGCAACGTGCCTACTATTAATATCTATCAATGAAATCAATCAAATAGTTGATTTAATTTACCTTGATAATGATAATCAGCTTGAGTTGATTAATCTTTTATAACGTTTTAAAACATAATCAATATAATAATCAATTAATTTGATACTCGTGGACTTTGTGGCTATTTACAATCAAAGATAAACGATTAACTAATTAAAGATTATTGTTGATTGTTGATGATTAGAGAAAAGTTTTCAAACTAATCTAATCACTTTCTCTCTCTCTCTCGAAAGGTCAAAGTGGATTAACCAAATCAAATGGTAGTATTAATTAGTAAAACAATTTGATGAAAAAGTCACAAAAATTAAACATCAATTAAAAGATTTAATCAATTAGTCGATATTGTGAAAATGTTTCCTTTAATTGATCATTTAGAACGAAAAGTTTTCGAGAAACTTTTCTTAGAACTTTCAATTTTACTTTTTCTCTCTCAACTTTTTGAATATTATAAAAATAATCTATTGTATTAAGTAGGTAATTAATCAAGGTAATCAAGTATAAGATCATTGAAAAAATTCATTGACATCATAATGATTGTAATCAACTAATCATCAGATTAACGATTTGATCGCATAGAAAATAACAATGATTAGATCGTCGAACCTCATTTGATTACCTTCATTTTCAAGTGAATTAATTGTCGATTACATTTGATTTAAAGGTGAAAAATTATTCAATGAAAATCAAGGATCAATTTCTCAGTAAATTGAAATCTCACAATTAAAGTGATAATTAGTATAGTCTAATTGATTATCTGGATCGTAGTTAAATCAACAATCTAATAACTTTGAGTTCAATGTATTGATGAATTAAAAAAAAAAGGTGGATAATTGTCCAGACCAAAGCTCTTGTAAATTTAGTCAGTTGATTAAACTGATTGACGAACGATTAGTTTACTCTGTTAGGTCCATCTCTTAATTGTAACCAATTAAGTAACCAAATCAAGGTGATCGTCCTTTTCTAACAGAGGTTATTGCCAAGTATCCACAAAGAAAACCAAGAAAACAAGTTAATTACATTTGGGGAAAAAAAGAGAGAAACAAACATCCAATTTAATTGCAGTGATTTAACTTTCATTTTAATTCAGTTTACCACCGCCAAGAAACTGAGGTTAACTTATTTACCTTTGATCGTTGATGAAAACAAATCTATTACATAGATTAAGATAGATAATTAATCTAATATTAAGACAAAAAAAAAGTTTAACTACTCAATTAGGAAGCTTAATGATGACCAAAGATTAACGATAATCCAAGAATAAGAAAAAGAGGAAACATTTTCTATTTCTACTTCGTTGTAATTCAGCCTTCGTCCGAACGAACCTACAAAAGTGAACGTAATGTTAACGAAGGTTGTGTTATAATATATTTCAAGTTATGCTTCGAATTAGGACATGGACATTTCGAATTTCGAATTTCTTTTTAATAAAGTAATCTTAATAGTAATTCTAACATAGAAGATTATAAAGTTGAGAAGAAAATTATTCAAGGTGATTGCAATCGGGTTTGTTCACCCCTTGTTTACGATTTTTTCAAATTCAAATCAATTTATTTTCCATCTTCAATGTCATGGGAACCGGTTCCTCGGTTATCATCCTCATCATCCTCATCATCTTCATCATCCCTAAGTCTAGTCCTCTTACAATCCTCTTGCTGTTCATTTCCATTAACCTTATCCTGTATATGGTTAGGGCGATGTTATTATCCATTGACCACTCGATATGACCACTGGATTTGTCCATTTAATGAATGATTTTGTTTTGCTTTTCTCCATCTATTCGTGATTAAGGTGAATGAGAGAGTTGATTAATTGTTGCATTGTAGTTTAGTGACAATCATTTAACAGATAAATTGATTATTAACATTTACATGTTAAATTGGTTTTGTCTAGATCGGGTTAATTGGGTTAATCATCTCACTTTTCAGGTTTTGTTTTTCACAATCAATATGCTTGATTAATAAATAGTTAATTGTTCAATTAATATACTGACCTGTGTCTATGGTGATTAATTTTAATATCATTTTAACATTTTTGTTTCAATTGCTTGTTAATTTCAAAGTTTGATCTAATTTAATTGTTATCACTTGATTATTTACCATTCTCAATGTGACAAAATTAGGCTGAGGTAAAATAATTAATCATTAATCATTTTTTAATATCATCTCATAGAGATTTAATTGTAATTAACTTCTTGGACAAGGACAAACGGAAGCAATTAAAATTAATGGTCTCATCTTTTTGTTTATAAAATATCAACAATTAACTTAATTTGTATCAAAATCAGGAAAAACCCTGTTAACAATTTGTTAGATTAGATTGAAAGTGAAAGTGATCATTTTGATTTTGTTAATCAGTCTAATTGTAGATTGATTCTGATCAGTAATCATTGATAATTAAGTCTTAACAGTGAACTTTTGTCGTGAAACTTTTACCAATTCAGATTATGAAAGTTTTAATTATAACCATCGTTTTCTTGATTGTTACTCAATTTGGTTTCATTGAAGCTCATGTGGCCCAGGAAAATCAACAATCAATTAACGATGAATTGAAACAACATCGACAGAATCGTTTCTTGATCCTTCCTGAATCAGTTCATGGTAATGGTACAAATTGGTCACCACTGGGCAGTTTGATGGACAAATGGAATCAGCTGATTGACTGGAAAATAGCAAAAATTAATTCAGTTAAAAGTTTGATGTGTAATTTGATTCTCAAAGGTGCATTCAATTGTGCAACAAAAGATGCACCAGCAAATAAACAATCAATAATTGATCACTTGTTGAATAAATTTAAAATGCCACAATCAACAACAACGACAACGATGTCAACAACTAATGAGGTAAGTTTAATAATCTTACTGGAATCTATGTATTAACTTAGTGATAATTAGATTTTCAGGTCTGAAAATGAAACAATTAACAATTTATTGATTCGTTTTAATAGATCAATCAGATAATCAAGAAACAACAACCACTGGTAATTCGACGACTGACAGTTCAACACCTCCACCAACGCCAACCACAACCACAACTCCAAGACCAGGACCAGACCAACATCAACATCTACAGCTCCAAGTACTTCCCAGAGCCCATCTCCATCTTCATCTACCACCACAACCACAACTCGAAGACCGAGAACAACATCCACATCCACCGCTCCAACTACTTCCCGGAGCACATCTCAGCGTCCATCTTCATCAACCACCACAACTCCCTCTTCACTTCCGGAAGATACAAGTGACTCTTTGAACGAAATTTAATTTCCATTCAATTGATCAATAATCACTAATCATGTAATCAAACTAGCAGAAAACCGACAATTTAATCACAAAATATATTTTGTACCTCAGTTAAATATAATCAACTGAAGTTACAATTTAACCAATGATAATAACTGATCATCTAAAAAACTAAATTTTAACAACAATCAACTTACAGGGTAAAGGTAATCCGTTAATAAATAATTACTTTCGATCAACCCTTTTCGTTTATCTCTATCTATTCAATTTTCGCGGTTTCGAACAAAACTTTCTTCGAGCTTGAAAACTTTGAATTTCTAATGAACGATCGCTCAGATTTCGTTCGTACTATTTTTCCCTTTTCAACGATTTTCAGGTTGATCTTTTCACTGTCGCCATCTGTTGGTTCTAAGCTTTTCCCATGGAAAAATTTGAATTAGAAAAAGGTAGATGGCGACAGTGGAAATCGACCAACGAAAAGTTAATCGTTGGCACTACGAATTTAAAGAAACGGAGACAACAAGTTGATTTGTGTTCGTGGGCGTTGAAGTTTAAGTAGATGGATAATTAAGGAATATCGCTAAAAGAAAACAATCAAATGAGATAATTAAATTAGCTATTTTAAGCTGATTACAATTGGAATTATTTACCTTGGTCACATAATTGATCAGAAATGATTATAATCAACCTACAACAATTGAAACAAAATTTTCTTGTGTCTTTTAAAAAGGATAACCTAATTTTCATTTCTCATGTTTAGTGTTAATGTTAATTGATAACAATTTAGCATTATAATGATGATCAGGTAATTGGAATAAGCAACAACATCGCTTAAATCTGTGGGCGAAATGGACACAAATCATTACAATTAACCAAAACAGACTCAATGTAACAATCAGTTGATTTAATTTCATATATACAATTAACTTGTCTGGCCACTTTTACATTAATTCAATTCGTGATTATTATTTTATTGTGTTAATCAAATAATAACTTTTAACTTATTACATTCACACCTCAGTAATTTAAATGATGGTTAAATCTAATCAAATATAATAAAAACAAAGTTCATTTCCAATTCAGAGTTTCAGATAAACTAAATGAGAGACAATATATCAAACAATTACAATTGTAAAATCTAAATTTAGTTCAAATTGTTTACAATTAGAATTGAAAACTTTGAGTTACCCTTTTCAATTAACTGATTTGGTGGAGGTTCAAAAATTACCCTCGACTTATAACCTAAGAACAGAAAGTTAATTAGTCGCTTAATTGTTGGAACTTAAATTCTAAACATAATTAAATTGATGTATTGATTTACCATTCAAGATAATTATCGATTAAGACTAAATAGAAATATTATTCTGATCGATAATCGATAACAAGATAAATTCCAATGAGATCGATCAGTTCGATAAACTTTTCATATCGAATTAGTTTCTAATCAAAATTTGTTCATCAATTAAACGATTGAATAATTAATGAGAAATAATTAAGATTGTTATCAATTAATTGACCTAAATTAACCTGAGGTAATGGTAAAGGTTAATTCTCAAGGAAGTTAAATGATAATTTGTAATCAACATTGTTTACAATTAAGTTATAATTAAACATCCTTATGATAAGAGTCGATGAACTTGTTGATTAACAATTTAAAAAGCTTAATTATTGAATGATTAGGACAATCAAGTGATTCAAATGAAAGAGTAATTGAGACAATTTTCAATGGTGTTAGGTTAATTGTTGTTGTTTATCATTCTAAATAATTAAATAATTGTTTCCAAAATCGATGCCAAATCAACCCTCGCAAATACTTAACTATAAATAAATTGTTTAAAGATTATTATTAGTTAGTTAATTGTTGACATTTTCCATGTTCACCTTTTCAAATTGTTGGAATCTAATCAAAATCAAAGAGAAACATTAATATTAATCAAAGAATATTAATAACAATCATATGATAATCTAACGGTTTTCATAGTAAATTGTGTCAAAAATTGAGTGAAAAAAATCAATTGATGATATTGTTTTTGTTTCTTAATTGTTTTTAATTATATTTTTGGCACAAACCACAATAAGTATAAATATAAAATAATTTGTCTCCTATTGTATATCGATTGTATATCTCATCATAATTGTCATTATTTATATGTATATATATTTATAATATATAATATTTATAATTAGAAGAGTTCATCTAAATCATTTATGTCCTTTTGTCAACTTGGAGGAAATATTAGAATTGTCTTGTTCCTTGTATTGCCATTGAACTTTTTTTTCGCAATCACTTTTGGTATTCTGGTTTAATCTCTGGTTAACCGATTAAGTGATTATGAATGAACTTAAATAAAAAGGATTGAAATTAATTCAATTAAAAATAACGAGCTTGAAAAGTACTAGTAAGAGAAAGAAAAATGTTCTTTGCATCAAGAAACTTTCAGGATAAAAAATTTCTCTAGATCACATGATGAGGAAGAGTGGGTGAGAGAGAGAGAGAGAGAGAGAGAGAGAGAGAGAGAGAGAGAGAGAGAGAGAGAGAGATGTAAAGAAGGATAAAAAAAAGTCTTTTCTCCCGGAAGTGTAATATTGTTTCTTGTCTGTCATTTTCTGTCTCCTAGTGAGTTTTATCATCTTTGCTTTATTCACTTGGTTTCATGTCGCATCTTTCATGAGCTTAATCACAAAGGTTTCTCTCTCTCTCTCTCTCTCTCTCTTGCGATATTTGCCAAAAATTGGGCTCACAATGTTGATTATCTTCCAATTGCGCAAAATAATAGCTTTAAAATCACCTAATCCATTTCTCCCTCTTCACAGTTTGATTGGATTTATTTTTTCATCTCTCTCTTTTTCTTTATCCATCTCCATCGTTATCATTTACTTTTTCCTTGACTCTGAGAGATGAGGTAAAAATTGATATCAAACAATATTTTGATGGATGTTGATGATGATTTCCAATAGCAGCAAAAAATAGCCAAATAAACATTTCCATGCATTTTCATTGTCATTACTTGGTCAATTGTTTTCCTTTCAGATCTATGGATTAATTAAAAACTGTAGAATATTTTTTTTTTGCTGACAAGATGATTCAATTGACTATCACTGATGAAAAAAAAAGGCTGAGTGATTAGTAAATTGGATGAATGACTTTTAATTTCCATTAGCTGCTTGTTTGGCTGCAACAATCAATGGATGAATAGATGATAAAGGTCTTCCTAATTTAAGGAACGGATGCTAAAGAAAAGTATATATAAATAAATAAAGAAGAAAAAAAAATTCGATAAAAGATTCGATTAGATTGTTTCAAATTACTAAGGTAATTATGAGAATAGTGATAACATTAAATTGCTTTCAAAAGGAAAAGGAAAAATGATTAACTAATGATCTCATTGAGAGGTAATAATAATAACTTTTCTTATTAGTCATTGAATTTTCGAGAATCAAACTCACTTTAAGAAGTTCTGATGATGACCATCGTTTATCAACGTCAACTTCGAGGCACTTGTCCAGAAATTCTTGAAATAGAACTGAAAGTTTATCTTTATCCTTAATTGATGGTTTACCATTGGTGGCAATCAAATAGAGAGCCTATTGAATATAATAGAAAAGTAAACAAAAGTGAGATCAATAAAATGAAGAGAAGAGAAGAAGAAGAAAAAAAGATGATAAAAGGTAAGGGTGTCAACTAATATTTACCCTGAGAGGATTTTCATTTAAATATGGAGGTTCTCCTTCAATCATTTCAATTGCTAATATCCCTAAGGACCAAATATCCACTTTTGGACCATACTGTTTTTTGGTAACTACTTCCGGAGCCATCCAATAGGGTGTACCAACAAGGGTTGTCCTTTTATTTTGTTCTGGTGAAATTTGAGCACAAAATCCGAAATCAGTCAATTTAACTGAACCATCCATTCCAAGGAGAATGTTATCTGATTTAATATCTCGGTGAATGACATCATTTGCATGTAAAAATTCCAGTGCTTGCAGAATTTCCCTGAATAGTTAAAAAGGGTGTAAACAAAATGTAAGAATGGATTGTAAATAGTCAGCAAGATTGGTGATGAACAAATGAGATGATATAATCATCAAATTATAATATTCTTATTTTGATACTTTAACTAATTAGTTTCAAGATGAAAATCAAGGTTAATCAAGTGAAATAAAGTCAACAGGGTGTTTACCTTAAAACAGCAGCTATTTGACCCTCATCCATACAAGTTTCGGTGACAACATCTACCAAAGATCCTCCAGGTAAATACTCCATAACAACCCACAATTCCTCACCAACCAAATACGAATCTAGATAATTAACGATATTCGGGTGCTTGTTTTCCTTCATCACCAGAATCTCGTTTATTATCAGCTCCTTATTTGGCTGTTGAATTAGATTCATTTGTTTAATTGCTACTTCCATTCCGGTTGATACTTCAATTGCTGTATAAACAACGCCCGAGGCTCCTTGACCGATTTTCTCTATTTTAGAATATTTTCTATTAGGATCACCGATGGTCACAATACTTCGTAGTTTATCCATAACCTCTTCCTCTGTCATTTTCCTTTTCTTGATTAATCCATTTCCTCCATCTTTTTTCACTTGATTGTTTATCTCTGATTTATTAACATTATTTATATTGCTGTTGGTGGTATTGGTAATCTTGGTGTTTAAATCGTTAATTTGATTGTTATTATTGTTGACGTTGTTGTTGTTGTTGTTTAGGTTGTGATTTATATTATTGTTGTTATTCACATGATCCTTGTTAATTGTTTTGATTTTGTTTACACTGTTATTTGTGAGAATCATGTTGATATTATGACCAGATTTACTATCAATAGATAAATTGTTAACTGCGTTAATTGTTTTCTCTATCATTGGATTATTGGTGATATTTTTGGTAGGAACATTTTTTGGTGTCGATGGTAATTTAGGTATATTTAAAGGTGAGGCCAAAGGTGTTGTAGGTGAATTGATTGGCTTTTGTTGTTGATGAACTGGTGTTGAATTAGTGGATACATTTGAAGATGGTGGTGGTGGTGGTGTTGTTGTGTTTATGGTGCTGGAGGAAATTGTTATTGAAGAAGAACCAGTTAACCCAGGAAATTTGGATTTACATATTGGCCTTGTATAGATGGATTTAGTTTTCTCGGGACGTGTGGGTGGTGGTGGTGGAGGTGGAAGTAGCGGAGGTGTTGTTGTAACTGTATTATTATCATCATCTCCATCATGATCATTATCAACTTGTGAAGATCGTTGGTGAACATCATCAATGACATTACTGTTACGACTACTACTATTACAACTACTACCACTACTATGATCATTTATAGTTGGGACATTTTGTTGAATTGTTTGTTGATGATCAAGTGAAATATTTTGATGTTTACTTGATTGGCTTTTTATTATATCTTCTTCCGGTGTTGATGGTGGATTAGAGCTGAGAGATGATGTACATGATGAAGGTTCTTGTAAAGATTCATGTGGTGTACAACTACTACCATTTGATGATGGACTTATTTTAATTATTGAATGAATTGGTGAACTAGTTGCACTTAAATTACCACTGCCCAGTCCAGCGTCACTGGTACAGCTTGAGGCAGAATTGGAGGAGACCAACATTGTTGATGTAGTTGAGACGGAGATACATGATGTATTTTTCTTGGTTGAATATTTTTCAGGAACAAAATTTGATTGTGATGCATCTAAAGAGAGAGAGAGAGAGAGAGAGAGAGAGAGAGAGAGAGATCAAATTAGTTAATCATAATCAACTTGATAGTCTAAACAAGAGAGAAAGAGATAAACATAAATCATATGTAATAAATAGTAAAAGGGGATAACCAAGTTTGAAGAGTAAAGGTAAAGGAAGTACAAAATTAATCACAATCGAAAAAAATAAAAAACATACTTGACGTCAGAAAAGAATCAATCAAATCCGCTGTTTAAATGAGGATAGAGAAGAAAAAAATGAAGATAAAGATAATTAAGAATGAGAGCAAAATATGCAAATACAAATTAAGATACAATTTAAAGGGAAGTTGAAACAGTTTAAAAGCTGAGAAAGAGAGAGAGAGAAGGAAAAAAAAGAAACTGCTAATCAACTGAACTTAAATGATGATCAGAGAATCCAATAAGCCATGACTAACTAAATTAGTTGTTAATCAATAGCAGTAAATTAAAAATACATAATTCGAAAATCTTATTAAGTGTATACACAAAACACTAATACAAATCTATTCTGAGGTAATTGAGTTTTTGTCACAGTCTAAAGATGAATAAGCTACTTTTTAAATTGGTTAATTGTAAGAACAAAAAAAAGAGCATGAAATTAGTTATGAGAATTAATATTTTCGGTTAATTTGATATAATACTAACCTAATGATGGATTGATTGTCATGTATTTAGGTAGATTTGCAATTGTTTCACGATTACTTGAATCATACCAGTTGAGAACATCTAACACAGCTTGAGGATTTTTCTTCTGTTCTATTTTACTAATATTCGAGTGTTGTAAAAGTTTACTCCATGATTCGGGCATCCCTGTAAATTCACCGGTATGAGCATCGAATCGGACATGACAAGTGTGCTCAAAATTGGTCGGTGAAGAAATAAATGGTTTCTCTGAAGATAAACTCGAATGGTGTTGGTTACTTGATCCATGGAGATTAATTCCAATATTTGAACCATGTTCCTTTTTCTCGCTTTTATTATACTTGATCGGTTTAACCTTTAAACCTTTTTTGATAACCTTTACGGTTACACTGTTTTCTTTTTCAGGTTCCTTTGGTAAGGGACGGAGATCAACTGGAACTGAACAATTTAAATTATATGGTTGATGTTGTGGTGTACGATGAGGTGATTGTGGATAATTAAAACTGGATGATTGTAAATTACTATGATGATGGTGATTATTATTATTATTATGATAATGATGATGATGATGATGATGATTATGGTTATGTGAAATTGAATGATTAGAGTGAGGACAATCTCTGATGGTACATAAAGAGGATAATTGATGATTCTGTTGAGAGGTTAATCGAACTGGTGGTTGTGGTGGTTTATCCTCCATGATCACTCACTGATAATTGAGATTTGTAAAGGTAAATCTCAAGGTAGAATAGAATTTGAATATCACAAAAAAATGGTAAAATTGGTAAAAAGGGTTAAAAGGTTAAAAGGCAAAAATATTGGGCTAGAAATAATTACGCCGATAATTAGTGACTCCTTTGGGAAGAAACAATAAATGATGGTGATGAAAAAGAAAATGAAATTCTGTTGATTAAAGAATAGGCTTGCCCGATGGATACACAATGCGCCTGAGTGAGTCAATGATTTCTAAGGCAGAAAGAGAGAGAGAGAGAATAGAGAATAAAAGAGATGAAAGAGAATTTAAAACACAACCAAAGGTGATGGAGAAAAAGAAATTCACTTTATATCAAGAAAGAATGAAAATTGACCAGATTTTTGATAGAAATTCCATTCCACAGATCACAAATACAAATTGACACTCGAATTTATAATCAAAACTAATTGTAATAAAAATGATTCACTCACATTAATGACGTTTAATGTGATCAATTTGATCAACTGATTCAAATGAAAACAATTTCATCTTCAAGCGAAAACCAAACAAACCCAATTAGGTAATCGATTCTTACGCCATCTCTTAGAAATATTTCTCAATCACCACATAGTCAATTCTTAATTAGAACAAGAAATTAAAGAGCAATTAAATTGTTCCAATTAACTACGTGGTTAATTTAACAGAATTAAATTGTTCCCAAGTTGATTGTTTTTCTCTGGAGAGAAAATTGTTAATTTTTAAACATTCGAAATTGGAATTAATAATCAATATTCTATTCGATGTATCGATGTTGTTTGTTTACATTTTTTCTTTTCGAAAAATTTTTTGTAAACATTAGCTTTTCTTTGGAACATTTTCTGTTTTTTTTTCTTTTCTTTTCTTTTTTGTTACCTGATCTTTTTCTCTTTGTGTGTATATAATTTATATGGAACTTTTTGTTATTCTCTGTTAAATTTGTTCCATCGTTACTGATCTAATTGTATATTATGTTCAGTTGACTAATAGATTGTGTATTTATCTTCTAATAACTAATCGATTTCATTGTTTTTCTTTTCCTGTTTTTTTTTCTTTCTAGTTTAGCTTTTTGATCAAAAATGAATGTCCATTCATCCGGTTCACCATCAGCACCAATGGTAACAACTTCAACACCATCAGCAATGCCACCGATCTTATCTTCACCTGTATCATCAGCTAATTTACCAATGGCGTCTTCTTCCTCCTCTTCATTTGTAGCACCAGCAACTCTACCTCCGCCATTACCATTACCATCATCATCATCTTCATCATCTTCAACACCAACACCACCAAACGTAGTTAATAATTTACCTATGCCTACTTATATGTTCAATAATAATAGTTCAAATCCCCTTGGATCCTCTGATTGGATGAATCAAATATGTTTACAGGTTGTAAATGATATGAATCTTTATGGAATCTGTGTGATTGATAATTTTCTTGGTGAAGCTCAAGGTGATTCTATTTTAAATGAGGTTAAATCTCTCTATGAATATGGTATCTTTCAGGAAGGTCAATTGGTTCGTAAAGTTAATCGACCTCGAACATTAACTCAAACCATTCGAAGTGATAAAATTGTCTGGATTGATGGAAGTGAATCTCAATGTGGTAACATTGGTTTTCTCATTCAAACACTAGACTCAATTCTTTATAAATGTAACACCATGGATAATAATGGTCTCTTCTCAAAATATAATATTAACACTCGAACCAAAGCAATGATCGCCTGTTATCCAGGTTGTGGTACCCGTTATGTGAAACATGTAGATAATCCCAATTCAGATGGTAGACGAATAACGAGTATTTATTATCTTAATAAAGGTTGGGAAGTTGAGGTAAAATGTGATAATATCAATTAAATATTCTCTTGCCAAGTTTATCCCCTCAAGGGATCAGCTTATTCACTTTCTCTCTTTAAATCTCTCATAAATTTTGACGATGACGGAGAGAGAGAGAGAGAAACCTTGTTTACATCATTAGGTTTAGTTAGGATTGTAATTTTGTTTAGTTAAATTAATATTCTTCTCACAATTATTATATATTAATATATATTATATTATATTTATCATTTATATTTGATTTTTTTCCCCATGTTTTTTGTTTTGTTTTGTTTAGAGAGACGGTGGTCTTTTACGAATGTACCCAGTTGGTTATGAAGATCATGTTGCCGATATATCACCGCTCTTTGATCGAGTCATTTTCTTCTGGTCTGATCGACGGAATCCTCATGAAGTTCAACCAGCGTTTAGTATACGATTCGCAATAACAGTTTGGTATTTTGATGACGAAGAAAGAAACCAGGCTATGCAAAGGTACCAACTATATCCTGTTCAGCCGTCTTGACCTTCAACAACAATATATATTTTATAAAATCTATGTTTATACATATATTTATATATCACCTCCCATTTGAATCAATCCATTCTTCTTTCTCTCTCTCTCTCCTTTCTCACTACCATTAGCACCAATAGTTTATCCTCGTCAACTTCATCGCCATCAACAAAATTCATCACTGGGTATTGAGAAAATTTGAGAATAATGAATCATCAGGTGTTGAATTAACAGGAGCCGCAGTTAGGAATGGGTTCGTTGGATTTGAAAATAGAGGCTAATGAGGAGAGCAAATCAAATAGACAAAAAGAAGAGAAAAAAAAATCAATTAATTAATTTGGTTAATCTTTGGACGCACATATAATCAAGGCCAGAAACACCAATGAAAATAATATATCAATCTACAATACAAATAGATTACCATTGAAGGTGTATCAATGTCATTTATCATTTGTGTGAATGATAAACAAATTGGAGGAGAGGTAAAAAAAAGAGTAACTAATATAACGTTTCACCAATCGATATAATTGAAACCTACAGATAGAAAACAATAAACAGAAAGCTGATAAATTGGATTAAATTATCTCTATCAATGAAGGCTTATTTTTTTTCATGAATTGTCAAAGTTAACCATTAATTGTTCAGAGTTAATTAATAGTAGGAGTTAATCGGGAGGTTCCCATTCCCAATTATTAGTTGCTTTTTTTACTAATAAAAAAAAACTCAATTGTAACAAAGGTTGAAAAAATCTGAATTTCAACAGAATGTCAATTCCAGGGACGAAAAACAAATGAACTAGAATATCAATCAGGAGATTAAAATTTGATAAGTAATGGGAAATAAAGATTAATGATGAAAAAATTGACAGTTAATATTATCGATTGAATGAAAAGTTACTGGTAAATGAGATCAAGAGGTTTGTAGCTAAGTGAAAGTTAAATTATAGTTTGAGACAAATTTAGAGAATTGGTGATTAAGTAAATTGTGGTAGAATTATTTTTTGTTACCTGTTGAATTGGAGGTTGTCCGAAAGGTTGATTGGTGTTCAAGTTGACACCAATCGGTGATGGTGACATGAAAAATGAGTTCTGAGTTGGTAATGTTACTGGAATTTGTTGATTGGTCATCAGAGATGACCAAAGGTTATTTTGTGGCTGTTGTTGTTGTTGTTGTTGTTGAGAGAGCAAAATTTTGTCCAAATAGATTATTACTATTATTACTTTGGTTAAACAAAGGTGATGCTTGTAGAGGATTAAGCGAGTTAATTAAAGGATTAACGGGATTAGTTTGATTAACTGGATTAATTGGATTGATGTAAGTGTTAGAACTTTCATAAAGTTTCATGATTGTCTCTTTATCCAATTTTTTATCCTGATTTGTTGGCGCCTTTTGATTGAAAAAATCTTTCTCCTCATCGGTAATATTACTACTAATAGAGTTGTTACTTATTTCCTTTTCCGTTCCAATAGCATTTGCATTGCCAATAAAACTATCATTAGATACTAAAGGAGCAGAAACAAAAGCTTCAAATGGATCATCATCTACAACGGGATTAATCAAACTTGATAAACTTGAATTCGAGACTTGATTAGTTACACCATTGGAATTAGCAACATCAAGTCCTAGAAGATCAACTGAATGTTTCGACGATGATGATGGCGATGGTTTTGTTGATTGGTCAACAGAAGAGATAATTTTCTCAGCAATAATCGCACTTGAAGCTGAAGTTGCTTGTGGCCTTGGAACGGGCGTTGTCTAGGGTGAAATAGAAAGAGAAGAAAAAATTATATTAGTGATGTGAAACAAGAAAAATGATCATTTGATTAACGGTTGTTAAGATTTGTTGATTCGGTTACATATACAATGAATTACGTGCTTGTTGAAAATCAGGTATTTGATTAGTTTTCATGTTATTGTCAAACATTAGTTAAAAAGGAATTGATGATGAATGTGAGTAAGCGTTAATTGCTAATAACGTTATTTACCATGGTTAAGTTAACAGAAAAGTTATTGAGGTTTTGCGAGAGGAGATGATCAATGATGAGGATAAGGTAAATTAACAGAAATAATTGAAAAAAATCAGAAAGAGAGATAAAGATGAAGGAGGATCAGGATGAGGGGAAGGTTAATCACCGGTCTAATATGATGATGATGATCAAGATGATGACGATAAAGATGATGTTGCCAAAATAAAATTCAATTCTTCAATAACAATTATCAATAATTGCAGGTCAATGATTTATCAACCATGGAGATGACTGAGTTTCTCTAATCAGTTTCAACAGTAAATTGGTCTACATAATTTGAAAGATTAATTTTTCTTTCTCACTCTCTGTATGTATAACTGAGATTAACTATTTACTATTTTGATCACTGTGAAAGTAAATTAAGGTTAATACATAATGATAATATTGGAAAATTTCATCTTAAATTGTTGACTCCTCTCGCAGGACCATTAATAATAATAATTGTTACGATTTGATGGATGATTTTGTTATGAGAAACAAAACAAAAATTATAGAGAGATAATCATCGTTTCTCATTTTATCTTCTTGTTTGACAATTAGAGTAAATTATTTGATGATTCGTCAATTTACCTGTACATCTACCGGAGACCCGTTAGGTTGTATTTTAGGAAGTCGAATTTTCTTTTTTTCCTTCTCTTTTCGACGTTCTTCTTCTATATCAAACTGGAATATATGTAATGTTATTTTAGAAAAGGTTGACGTAAGTAGAGATGAAAGAATGGAATAGAATGAGAAAAAGAGAGAAAGAGAGAGAGAGAGAGAGAGGAAGAGGAAGAAAAGGTAAAAGAGAAAGAGGTTGAGTGAGTTAAGGGGAGAATCCAACAGAAATTAAGTAGTTCAGACATAGAATAAGTGTTTGACTAAATCATAATTTGTTCTGATATTGAACAGGTAGAATAACATTCAAAATGATCGATAAATGTTCTATTAGATTAGTAAAGTAGGGAGGATTCTATGGTTGGGATGATTATCTGGTAGAGAGAGAGAGAGAGAGAAAAAGGGAAAATTGTTTCTCTCTTTTTATTTTGTTGATTTGGTTAGGGAGGTTTTCTTTTTTATGTTCAAAGGTAATTATGATGGAGGTAGAGGATTTGGTGTTTAGGATTTTTCTTACAGCAGGCTGAGGAGCTGGTAGTGGAACCCATTCCTTGGCAATATATTTCTTCTGTTCATATTTAGCTCTGACAAATGCCTCAAGCGATGAATCAGTTTGTGGTCTTCTAAAATTATCCGGTAAATTGGCTTCATAAACAGCTCGAGCCTTTGAGTTACCCATTTGTTGAAGGTAACCCACTTGCTCAGGTGTCCATGCATCAAGATTAACTGATTTTACTTTAGATATGTGTACACCTAAATTACGATGGATACCAGCACATCGAATACATAAAAATATTCCTAAATTCCAAGAAGCCCATCGAGGACCTAAAGAAGAAAACAAAGAAAAAATTACAAAAAAATAAAAGAATAAAAGAAGAATTATAAGAACTAATTGAAATTCTAATCAATAAGAAATAGTCAGATAAGGGGCAAGGTTAATTGTATTGATAACTTTAGGTAATGACAATTTACCGACAAAATATTTCCTGTCAATCAATAAATCTAACTGTTTATTAACCCATAGTGACTATGGAAAACAAGGAATGAAAACAGAGAGAGAGAGAGAGAGAGAGAGAGAAGAGAGAGAGAGAGAGAGAGAGAGAGAGACAGAGAGTTCAGAAAAATGATTTGAGGAATAAAAAGAATTGGATTAGAATTTTATTCTGATAACTAACCTTTAGCATCACAGTCAACACAATATTTGTTATCTTCATCCTTAAGAAGATCATTTAAAATTTGTTGACACTTTTCTTGGGCCAGTTTTAGTTTCTCCTTTTCCACTCGTAAAGTTGCCATCATTAACTATCTAAATTGCAAAATTATTGTTAATTTATTTTCACCTTATGGAAAGAAATTATCAGAAGAGAAAAAAAAATTTACCCAAAGAGATGAAGCCAATAAAATAACTCAAGTGAAAATGAACAAGACACAAACACAGAAACACCAAAGAGCAGAGAAACAGTTTTACAACAAATCAATTAAATAACGTATCACAATTAGATAACAGTTAGTAAGCTGTTAGTCTAGATAACAATTTAACAACATGAATTAATTAACTGATTGATTTAATGAGTTGAAACTGAATCAACATCTGAACAATCAAGAGGCTTGAGGCTCAAACGGCTTCGAATTTGATTGGTCGTTTCTGCGCATGCGCAGTTACTTTATTTACTTTTTCAGAGGGAAAATCAAAATTTTTGGATTTTCTTAAATTAATGAACAAAAATTCAAAATTAACTAATTAGTTGGTGAATAATTTGCAGAATGAAAAAAAACTCGATAATCAAATATTCTCCATGTTGATGAACTATTTAATATGAATTTCAATTCCAATTTACAAGAAAACTACTTTAATTCTTATTATTAAATGTTCAATCAAAAGCAATTAAATTGTCTCTCAATTGGCAATTTAAATCATTTCAAGATTAATTCAACTTTTAATTACAGTTCATCGTTACCTCTAATTGGTGAGAAATATGTTTTGATTAGTAATAAATAATAATTCCAATTGTAAATGAATAAATTTCGAGAGAAAAAAAAATTCATCGAACTTAGTTTGAAGTTCATCCAATAGATGGCGTTGGGTTAGAATTTTTTCTCTCAAAAATGATTAATAATTAACTTTTAATTATTTTCTCAACATTAATTGTTAATCAAACTTATTATTAATGATTGAAATTATGTTCTCAAATTTTTCTGTGTAAAAAAAAAGCCAACAATCAAAGCTTGAAAGTCACTAGAGCAAAAGATTCGGTTAATTGTTAATATGCATCTTAAATGGCAATTAAATCAAACTAAATTTACACAGAATCTAATTAGTTAATCAGTAATTTGGTAACCAGGTCAACTGGTTAATTCATTGGAAAATATTGAACAATTAAGAAAGTAAATTAGAATGGAAACAAATTTGAATGCATCATCACGCTAGAAATGAAAAAGTAGATTGTGATTAACGATATCAATTGATTATCATTAACTAAACATAGGTGACACTCGTAACAATTTACTAATCATTGAACAGTTTTTCAAGCTAACAGGATGTAATTGTACCAATTAACTTTGTTTATACAAACCTAAATTGTTTAAAGGTTAACAAAATTGACCAATTTAATGTTAATCACAATCACAAAGGAAGAAGCAAAAAAAAAAGTTAATTGGTTCAATTTAATTAACTTTGATCATAATTAAACAATCTTGTACTTAACCTTTGAAATTATCAATAATAATAATAATAAGATGAACAACAACAAACAAAAAAAATTGATTAATTAGTTTTTGCTATAAATTATTAAATAATTAGCTAATTAACTATTGTTTTAACCAAGTTAATTGCCACTAATTCCAGTTAATTGTGTTAACAATTAACAATATAAATGTATGTATACATAAATCCTATTAGACACATGATAATAATACAAGTAAAGTTAATAATTGATTTACAATTCATGAGAAATTGTTGATTTGCAATTTCATTCACTGCTTCTGATAATTAATTAATAATTTATAAACTTAATTACAAGTATAATATTTTACTAGGAATTAAGGTAATTGTTAATTGTTAGGAAAGGATTGAACAAGGAAAAACAGACAAACCAACAACGGAATTGAGATTGATTAGTGATTAGCTTTCGTGGAACAATAAAAAACGGATGAGCTGTTAACTAATTTTATTCTCATTTCGTTAATCCGGTCAGTGAACTCAATCGATGATAATAATTTACATCATCTTCATCCTCATCATCTCTTTCTTTTCTCTCTGTCTATTTTCATCTTCTTCCTCTTTCAATTCTCTGAGTAAATAAAACGACTTAATGTCTTCCGATGAAAAATCATCAATTTCCTAATCATATTCATTCAGTTCTTATTCTCGAATGTATTAATTATAATATAAATTCTATAAACTTTCGATTAATTTTGTTCTAATCGAATTTACTCTCTCACTTTCTCTCTCTCTCTCTGTCCTTCTCTTCATCCTCTTCCATTGATGTCATTTGTTGATCATTGATAATCTCACCTTCAGCTAGTAACCCCATTTCTATTTCAAGAGCGAGAGAAACAGAAAGAATGAGAGAAGATGAAAAATGGAGAAAATGAATGATGATGAGAGAGAGAGAGAGAGAGAGAGAGCAATAAGAAGCCATAGACAGAGAAATAAAATGATGAGAAGAAGATAAAATTGTAGAGAGAGAGAGAGAGTGAGAGTGAGAGAGCAAAAGAAAGACTAAAATTATGATGATAAGATTTGGTGTGAGCCTTTTTTTAGGCGGGGAAAATGAGATATAAGTGAGTAAAACAAAATGATCTCTCTCACTCTCTCTCCATCATCTGATGATAATCCTTTTCATCATCTAAGAAAAAATCTTTGTTAATAAATAATCAACTAAATCAAATTTAATAACAATAATCATTGTTTTTGTGTCAAATTTATCTTGTGCCAGAGAAAAATGTTACTTATTTCATCATCATTAAATAATAAACATCAACAACAACACACAATTAAAATGATGATCATCATCATTATGTTATCAGTTTTAACAGTTAATTCATCAATAATTGGTTCGAACAGAGTTTCAAATGATAATCTTAATGAAAACAACAATAATAATTTCAATTCACTTATCGGGTCATCGATAAACAACAATCAAACATTCATCGATAATCCAACAAATACCAATCAGAATCAATCGCTTATCCTGGAGTTAAGAGAAAGGTGAGTAAACAATTATGTAATTAATTACAACAATTAAGACCTAAACCGGTTCAACTAGGTCAGACCTAGACTTTCAACTAAAGGGAGTGATAAATTAAAATAATTACTCTCTCTCTCTCTCCATCTCTGTCTATTCCTTTTCTTTTTCATCCTCTCTTTCCTAATTATCTACCTGTCTACCTTACCTGTCTGGCCTACATACCCTCAGGTCATATGGAATCCCAATATCACCTTGAAATTATAACTCTTCTAATAATAAGCTCTGAAAGAGCAGACGAAGAGAAAAAAAAAGTTCTCAAAGTTTTTGTTTCTTTTTCTCTTGCACTTTCTACTTGTTGTTAATAATTTCGTTGCAACGAAACTTTCAATTATAATTAACTTTTTGATTGACGCAAAGAACGAGTTGATAGTAAACAATTATTAAAGGGGCACTTTATTATATTTATCAGTAATTAATTTCTCTCCGTTTGCCTGATGATGATTATTACATCGATTAATTAAATCAATTTTCAAATTCGAAATAATTTCAACAAGGAAAATCATGCTATCAACATGATCGCTTTTCTGAGTAAAATTAACAAATCAAATGTGATCTTTTCGGTCTTTTTTTGGGGTCAAACGGAACAAACATTTTGTCCACCTTCAGTTAAACAGAGTAATCGAATCTCCGATTAACCTCTCGAAGTTTTAATGTCCCAATCTCAGGGCATTCGGTTGATACAATTGAGAACCACATTCATCTGATGCTCTTTCTTTTTTTTCTGCCCGTTCCATTGCCCCGTAGGCCATAATTCATCCCTTCTCTCTTTCTCCCCCTTTTCTCTTTCTCTCTCATCCTCTTATTAATCTAATTAACACTTTTTATTGGATCAACAGGAAAAGGAAAGAGAGACTTTCATTGATAAAATCATCAATATTATCACAACTCAATCTACCAGTTGGACATCAACATCACCATCAACATAATGTTAATCATCAACCTGATGATGAGATGAAAGTTAATCACAATCAACCTTGTTATTTAACGAAAACTGAACGAAATATTTTATCAGATATTTTCATCATGATCAGGAAAACCCCTGAGGGAACAATTGATATTAATGAATTTTCAACTAACCAACAAATTATTGATAAACTTCAAGGGTTAAACACTAATTGTAAGTATATATATAAAAACTTTGTTAATTGTCATTCTAATTGTTACATTGTAATAAAAGCAAAAATCAACAAATTTCTCACATTTATATCAGATTAGTTTATCTTAAATCCTGTTTCTGATAACAGTTATAATATCAATGAATGATAATTAGTACAGGAACCTCAATATCAATTAGTTGATTGTGTTTACTAATCTTCTAATTGAATTGAAAGGAAAACAATCAAAAATCAAACGCACCCACAGATATATAAACATATCAATGTAAAAGTAAAATCAATTTGTGAATCTGAATTAAATCACAACAATCAGAGTTAATCGTGATGCACCCAATGATAATTATCTTAACCATGTCAGTAATTAATTGAGTAAAATTGATTGTACCATTTAACATACTTGCACTTAACCATTTAAATGATTGATCGTCAAATTGTTACTCTGTAACTAAATCAACTAGTAATTATATGTAACTACAATTAAATTTAATTTCGTTGGTCCGTTGACATATTCATGTTTCTCATTCTTAAAGTAACAATCTAATCACACTAATTATAATTGAAAAACAAGGCCTCCTAAATTGTTTTTATTTAGCATTTACTGATAGTAGTTAATTATTAATAATAATCCAAGAGTTAATTCAGTTTCAATTAGTACTAAATTGTTAATAGTAATACAATATATCATGTATATCAAGTGTCTCTGTCGAGTTTGTTGTTATTGTAGTTAAGTGTTAATTTGATTCAATTTTGGGTCAGAAAAAAAGTTAGAGTTTAATTATTTGTAACAATTAATAATCACAATTACGATCACTTGATTAACATGATTTCTTTTTCAAATGGAAATTCCCGCCACTCAGAATGAAATTTTTTCTCCTCTTCTTTTTTTTTCCAATGATTAATTAACCAGAATTAACTTGAATTATTAGAGTGTTTTACTGCTCGATTTTTCTTTCGATCAATTTTCAGATAACTAATGACAATTTCCAAGAATTTAGATAATCTCATGATGATAATGAGACTATGAGACTATGAGTGCTGAGGAATTCTGGGCTCAACGGGAAAAATATTTTTCGAAAACTAATATTTTCAGAATAGACGAGAATAAGAAATTTTCGAGTTCTAAGATTCGACAATTTGGTCTTTAAATATCGAGAAAACGGTTCATAAGAAAATGATGAAATTCGATGATTAAAATTTGGATTTTATAATTTTCCAATCAATGACTTCTAATATTAATCAGAACTTATAATTAAGTAATTAATTGATTCTATCACTCTATCACTATTAGCTCATCATGTTGAAATGATGTGCAATTTGATAATGAAAAAAAAGTCCTAGATCTTGATTTTCAAAGTAATTAAACCCTAATGGTATTAATGTTTATTTGTTTTTTATGCAATCTAACTGAAACAATTAACCATTGAAAAGTATTATCTCATCATAATTAATCAATGATTAGGGTTATATTTATCGTTAATTGATTAAAGTTTCACAACTTTCAATCAAACGGAAGTAAAAAACAATCAGATGACTTGAGATATATTCACAGTTATATTAATATTTGATTACAAATTAATCTTAATCATTAATTTCATTGATAACCAATAAAATGACAATCATTTTGTGATAATCGATATGAAAATGAGCGTTTTGTTCAACCAATCATTTGAATTCCTGTTGACATTGAATAACAATTAGAAGTGTTTTCTTGATAAACATTGGAAAGGTGATAATGTTACATAACATCATAGATAAAGGGTTAAGGGAAGGGAGAGATTTATGAGAGAGGCGGGGAAATGAGAGAGAGAGAGATGATGATGATGAGGATGAAGATGAAGATGAAGATGAAGATGAGGATGATAAGAAAGATGAGTAAGTAAGAAGGTAAACAAGTCAGAAAGTTCATTCTCACTTTGAACCTTAAAGAGTTTCTCCTTTGTTTTTATCAGTAGAAAAGTTTTTTTTATCTCAAAAGTTTCGTCGATCGAAAATCGTTGTAACGAACTTTTCGTTTTCTCTCTATTACCTTCTCTATCTTGATGAAAATTGGTTTTCCTTTTAGAATAAACTTTTCTATTTTATGTGATTGTATTTGATTATTTTAAAATTACATCGAAAATGATTAAATTAAATGTTAATAATAAACTTTCTTTCTGTTCAATCATTTTAGCTTTGGCTTGTGTCCGAACAGCAATTTTCGCCTCCGTTGACCATCAACGAAACTCAAACACTAATTCAACTCTAACAACTCGTTCAAACTTTTTCCCAATCAATTCATCATCTTTCTCATCATCAGCTGTTATTGGACATCCTCTTTTTGACCAATCAAATTTATCAAACAAAAGCCTAAGTGATTATCAGAATGACAATGCAACCCAACAATTGATTCTTGAACAAAGACAAAGGTAAGATTAACTGTTAATCATCATCATCATCACCATGATAATGATTAATCAACCAATGCAAATGCTAAATAGGTTAATGATCAAAGACAAATGAACAAGCAATATTTACATAAATATCCAGCTAATAATCAATAACAATTAATCAGTTTTCTTGTTTAGTCTATGGAGGATAAACACTGAAAATAAACCAGACAGTTTAACCCGAAAAAGATCAATGATCAACAATTAGCAAGAAGCAAAATGTTGATTAACGAAAAACTACCCAATCATAAATTCTGATTATTAACAATATTATTTTAATTATCGACTCTTAATCCAACAGGAGAAAACAGGAAAGGTTAATCTTCATCCAACAGCAAATCTTATCTCGACTCGGATTAGCTCAACGTACCAACGAAACGCTTCCGCCTTGCAAATTAACTGATTCTGAACGAAGTTTAGTTGATCAAGTATTTAATAGTAAATCATCAGAATCAAATTCAAATCAATTGACACAATCAAATATTGTCTTCACCAAATTACAAGGATTCCATCCTTCATGTAGACTTAACGTAACCCCTGTTAATCCAAATCAGCACAATAATTCAGTTCCATCCTGATCAACAATTAACTGAACTTTTTTTTTGTTTTTTTTTCGCACAATTTTCTCAATCAATCAAATCAATTGCACTTAATTTTTTTCCCCCAAATCATGTCACTTATCAAATCCATAAACGATAACTTTTTTTAATAATATCCATGATGATCATGTAACAATTAATCCCAATTGATACAATGTATAATTATTTAATCATTAAAAGAAAAACTTTTCACTTTAATTTTTTTTTGTTCCAAATTCTTATAGTTATTAATCAATGTTACAATTAATCAATTGATTTGAATTTTGATCAATAGTTTCATTCACTTTAGTGAAAATGATAAATTATATTGGCTAATTGTTTTGATGATAAACAATTACGATTACAATCAATGTTGAACGATCAAGTAAACTCTCTGTTTGATTGTGATCAACTTTCAATCGTTTTTGGCCTCATGTTTATCATCATCTTTCAATTAACAATTAAGCCTTAGTTTCGCCTCTCAATCTAATCATTTCTAATTAATCTAATTAACGGAAGAATCGAAAGTTTTTTGAAAGGAAAACATTTCAAGGGGTTTACTCACCGATTAGCTAATCAACTGATTTAATTGTTAAGCCGATACCTCGTTGTTGTTGTTGTTGTGATTGTTAGTAAATCTTAATCTCTACTTTTGTATTAATTTCCTTAAGATTGTCACAGATTAAGATTAAGACGATTTGGACGAAAATCTAATTTCATCCAATTGATTAAAAGTTAATCGTAATCCAAGAAAACAGAAATGATCATTCATGATTCATAATCTAAATTAATCAAGGTTGATACAACTATTTTCATTGATAGAAAGAGATGGAAAAGAGTAAACAATTTAATCGTAATGATTAAATTGTCAGACACTGGTAATTGTGATAAACGGAAATGACAATGGAAAAGTTAAAAGACCAAGTTAATTGTTCCGTTGACAATTTACTTAAGTGATTAAAATGTTTACATTGAAAAAGAAAATATTTATATACATTAACTGAATCAAATGATTAACTAATTGCAATCAAAATATAAACTCAAATTAATGAGAGGGAAAAGTTTGTTTTTTTTTTGCTTTTTAAAGTTAAATTTGTGGGCTGAGAAAAACAAAAGTGCAATCATGATTAGCAAATATTAACTAATTAAATTTGAAGAGGATTAAAAAGTTAATTAATCAATAGGATTACCTTTTTGAAGTACAAGACAAAAGTCAATGAAAACAAAAACACACCAATTGATTAGTTAATTGTATCATGATTCCTTGTAACAATTTAATATTACTGCCCAACCTTTTATTATTATTAGTTATAGATGTTGACAATTAATCAATCAAATGATGGTGTTTACTCAAATTGTAAGGACAGTAAATTTAACTTAAATTGTAATCACATATCCTGTTGGTGAAGTTGTGAATGTACAAATCAAAGGTCCTCAACAATTAATAGTAAACTCTCAAAAAAACTGACAAAACAAACCACATCCTCCTCCTTTCATCATCATCATCATCATCATCATGGACCCGATATTAATCTGATTAATCAACAACTAGATTATATCATTTCAAGGTCTTTTCCCGTGTTTATCAACTTAAGAGATCCTTCAACCTTTGTTGTTATTATTTAACTAAATCAGAGTGAAAAATAATAACAATTTAACATCCCATGTGACTTTTAAGGCGCTCAGATAACTACATGAATGATTGTTGATCATAACGTAAACTTTACAATTAGTCAATTATGAGTGAATGAAAATATCAACAAAACTGTTTCGTTTTTTGTTAATTTCCTCTCAAATCAAATTCAAGTTAATTGTTTCTACACAAAAATCACAGGAACAGAATTAAACGATTCTCTTTCTTTTTAAGGTTCTTGAAAACTAAATCAAGAACTGTTTAGATAGAGTGAGAGTTAATCAGACAATTGCACAAACTAAATTAAAACATTCTCAGAAGTTCTGAGTAAGAACAATTTAAAAAGTTTACTTCTTCTTCTGCCATCTATCGTTTTTTTCCCTAACTTTTTTTCGATAAATTTCCAAATAAACCAATAGATGTCGCTAGTAAATTCTCTGATTCCTCTCAAACTGGTTGATTAAAAAATTAACTTTTTCCACCTTTAATCTTATCAACAATTAAAAAGTTTTTGAACAATTTATCAATTTTTCTGTCATTTTCGTTAACATGATATTAAAATTTGATTCCTTAACATTAAATCTCATTAATTTTAGAACAATTTTTCTTCATTATTACCAAAATTATCCATTAATTGTTACTCTCTTTTGATATAGTCACCCAACCGAAGATCATTATTAGTTTTACTCGACAAACGATTAACCAGTTTTAACCAACCTTTTTATTTAAATATGATAAAGATTTAAAATCTAAATTAAAAGTGACTATTCAACATCATCATCATCTTCTTTTAACAAGGTTATACCTATTTACTCATCTTACCTTCTCATCATCATCATCATCATTTTCATCTTCATCTCCGATAACCGCCCTTGTCTCTGCTCCATTAAAATTATATGAAGTTTTATCATCATCTTATTCATCATCCTCATCCCTCTCAGTTGGTGATGCTTTCCCTTTGTCTGCAAACTTAGATTAATCTGTTCGGATTTTTTTTTGCAATTTTGTAAACCTTTTCATATTCATCATCCTCATCCTCATCCTCATCCTCATCATCCTTGTCCCTCTCCCTTTGGCCCTTTCATACTCAAAAGCATAAATTTAAAGCCATAAACAGCTAATGATGGACATAATCTGGTCACAATATTATTACCTTGACCCTTGTGGCTTTTGTTTGCAACCAGCATCTAAATTGTAAATGCAACATTAAACTTGTCTAAATGATAACCATTTAAAATTATAAAGAGCAACTACTAAAACTAAATCAACTGGAAACATGATTAATATTAACAATTAATCAACTTTCCATAAAAAAAGCATCTAATTGTTTACATAGTCACATAAGAAAATAAAAACAAATTAACCAACTTGCAAATCTAATATCACATAGCAATTTGTTTACACTGACAAAATTTCAAGCTAAGTTAGTTAGTTAACCAAATTGCAATTAACGGCAGCAATTTAAAATTAACAATCTTATCATCAACGTAAAAATAATCAAAATTATTAATTTTAAATTTCTGCAGTTAATTGATAACAAAGGTTTACCATTGTTTTCAAAAGTTGTTATACTATTTTCAAATCATATCAATTGATTAAACGATCAACAATCAAGGAAAACATTGATTGCAGTTGAAGATAATGCAAATTAATCTTGGCGTTAATCAACTAACTGTAAAATGCAATTACGATTGAAAAAGTAAATCAAAGTAAATTAAGACTGTTGATCCAAATTAACGGTAAATTTTCAATCTAAATCAAACAATTTCCTTGAGATTATCATATTAGATATTCAAATGAAGTTAATTATAATCGTCATTGGATAACTTTTTCAAGGGAAGGAGGAAACAGTTACCTATGGAAAACTCTATCTTCCATCGTATCATCATCCTCATCTCTTTCATCATCATCACAACAACAACAACAAAAAACTATCCCTTTGATTCCTGTTCAATGGCAATTTTAATGAGGATAATTAATCATTTCTCTCCTAATTGTACATTGTTTTCAATCGTCAACTAGAGTTAACTTAATCTTCGTTAACTCAACTCAGTTAATTGCTAACAAATACTAAGTATCACTTATCTTCCTCATCACAACCCTTATCATCCTCGAACTTGCAGTAAGTTTAGAACTAATGTCCATCGAAAAAGATGAACAACATCAAACATATACAGTTTTCCATCTTCTTGAAGCTAAGAATTCATCATCTTTACTCTCTCTCTCTCTTCTTCTCTCTCATCTTCCATCATCTTTTCTCTTCCTTAGTATCCTCATCATCATCAATCTCTCTACATTGTTATTGTTTTAAGAGAGGAAAAATAGTCCAACTAATTACCCTTCTAATGAATTATATTTTTGTCAACAGTAATCTGAAGCTTCTTCTTGCAACGAAAACGCTTATCAGGGTTAACAATGAACTTTGTACAGTCGAGGAAAAATATTTACCATAAACACATACAGAATATACACAAGAATCAATGTTAATTTGCAAAAATGTGAAAACAATCAGAAACTTTTGATTATCTTCTTGTGACTCTCTTGATTGTTGTTTAGCATCAAGGGTTAATTTAGTTCCACCAATAGATAACATTTCAACCCAAGGGCTAATTTATCATAATTAGTCAACACGAGTTTAAGAAAATCTTACCAACCCAACACTAATCACATGAATAACTAACTAATTAAGTTTTATAATCCTATTAACATAAAATTAATGAATTGCAACAATTGCAGGGAGAGTAAAAAACTTCATAATATCCATCAAACAAATCGATTGCCAAAAAGGTTATCAAGTGATGGATACAAAAATCATCGGATAACTCACAAGGTATCAAATGAAAAACGCGCCAAAAAATAGAGGGAAATTTTCAACACACTGTAGTTATCATCGATACATTGATACCATAGGAGAAAAAATCTTATGCCAAATTTCAATTTGCAAATTTGCGAACCAATTTAAAAGTAACAATTGACTAAATCGAACTAATAATTTGATCAAAAATACTATTTGAACATCGAATCTGCAGTTTCGTATTAAATTGCAATTGGAACAATATTTTTGCACTTTAATTACCAGTGGTCAACATTGGAACTGTGTCCAGTTCTTGGGTTTGCAATTCTTATCGCTGTTTATGTTTTCCAAGAGAAAATATTTTATCTTCGCTTTGTACATTTCGACAGAGCATTTGACAGTTGGGAGCGAATTTATCAATTCTTTGGATGTGCTTTTTTTTATGTGCAAACATTTTGCAAGAAAAAAAAACAAAATGCGAAACGCGAGGTCAAATTTGAGTCGAAAATCGATTCGCGGTACAAGATCAATTTTTTTTCTCCTTTCTCGAGGTGATCTATTAATAGATATCTAGGGTTCACACACTTTCGCCCCTACGCTATAACCGTAAATTTGCTTTA